TGTGGTTTTTTGTTTTTTTTTCTTTTGTTTTTTTTTGGGGGGGTTGGTTTTTTTTTTTTAAGAAGAAAAAAAAAAAAAGGAAGAAAAGCAAAAACCTAATGGAATTCAGGGTTGCTTTGCTCGCTCTTTGTGCTTCTGTTGAGGCTTCCACATGCATATCATTGCTGTGAAGATCTTGCTTTTGTGCACTTCAGTTCTGTTTCTGCTGCAGACTAGTGGATAGACCTTGCATTACCAGCTTCACTTAAAATGAGTTAAAACCAATCCACACGCACACATGCCGAATCATGTACCAGCCTTGCGTTTTATGGGGCTGGAGTTTTCTGTGACTCTCAGATTATCATTAAACTGTGTTTCATCAGGGAGCTTTTATATGCCTCTACTAAGTACCACCTCTTTGTTTTCTCTTCCTTTCCTCACAGTCCCCCAGCTTATTAGTATATGGCATTTATAGCCAGGTTGGTTGCACCCTTGTGTAATTCCTAACATAGTTCTGGTTGCAGGAATTTTGTGGTACTATAGTAATTATGTGAATGAATCAGATGTGTTTGTCTGGCAGACAGGCTCCAATGATAAAGCTTTTGAGAGAGTAAAATGCTGAACATAGCACTGAAATTTCTAAAATTGAAATGTTGGCTTCTGAAGCCTTTTAAACATTAAGTTTAAATCTTAATATAAGTCATATGTGTGATTAATCAAGGGACAATAAACTTACCAGCATGCTTTTAACTAATGCTAACTAAAAGAGAAACTAGTTAGTATGGGGGAGAAAAGGCTACTATTGAAATAGTAGATAGTTTTTCACCTTTTCAGCAGATGAGGGCTGGAAGCTTTCTTTCCAGGGTGTGCATGTGTTGTTCATTTTAGTGGGGCCAACCTATTTTCTTGGGTAGAGAAGGAAATGTGAAAACTTTGTACAATTGATTACTTGACATTTTTTTTGTCTCATTGTGTAATGAGATGTCAGTTGTGTTTTTGGTCCTTGGCCAAACATTCAGGAACTCTGGAAAAATGTAAGGAATTGAAATACAGATAATAAAGTAATCTGGTGAGAAAATCAAAGGCAAATATTGATACAAAGGGGAAAATATATGGTACTTAAAGCATATCTATAAAATGAAAATATTTATCATATCGATCTCCTTTATCCTCTTCAAATTATGGCTGTTTTCTGTGGTCAAACATTTCTTGTCATGTTACAAAGACACAACTTCCTGTGTGCTAAAAAAAAACTTCCCCAGTGGTATTTTCTACATGCTTGTGTTCTAAACCTTGCAGAAGAGAATGACCTAGGTCTGGCCAAAGGCATTCCTTCTTTGTTTTAAAAGCAGTATAAACATCACACCTATTTATTCACTCATTACATATACCATTACTTTGCATTTTGAGTTGTCATACTATGATGTGCTTTTCCTTCCACCAAAGAAAGGTTTCTCTACAATGTTGAAAAAACTCATAGGCTACTGTTCTCTAGAAGCAGTATTTTAAGAACAATGGCTTATCAGATTTCTCAAAAGATACATGAATGTTGAATATTTTCTTGTACAGGGTGAAGGAAATTTATTATTGATCTCTTAAAAACTGTGTTATGTGGTTGAACTTGATGGCAGTTCAGCTTTTCCAGTCTTTAAAAGAGAGTGCAGTTGCCTTTTCTTTTGGAGCAACTGCATTCCTGTAGTTGTCCGTATCCCATCACATACGGAAACCTGAGAGAAGCAAATCCCTGGCTTACTGTGTCTGGTATTAAGGGGGAGAACGGGTCCCGTAAATGGCTTAGGAAGACATAAGAGTGTTCCCTTTGCATCATGAGAAATTCGATCACATACAAAATATACTGCTTGTCACTCAAATTTGAATAGCACAGTGTACCTTTGATCTGCGTCTGTAGTAAGCTATATGTGCTGTTCTATCCAACATGACATGTATTTTAAGTCTGTTGCAGTGCTATCCATTTGTTCTCCAGTTGCCAAATTTTGGCCATGTATTGTGTCCACTGGAGACAACCCTACCACTTTTGGATTTAGTCTCTGGTATTGAGATCTAGACAGATGTATTCCCAAACTTCATACAGGAGAGTTTGGCAGTGATGGGATTCACAGTGCCACTGCTGTTCAGTGTGACAAAACTTGGCCTCACATAAAAAGTCTGGCAAAATGACCTTCATTGGCCTGGTAACTAGGTAGAGATCTAGATGCGCTTAAACATGTTTTCTGTAATATTAGATTTTTAGTCATTTTACCATAGCAAATTGTGTTTTTTCATGCCTTGAAAATCTTCTCTCAGTAGGCTTTCATCCTGCCCACCAAAAGCTTTCATCCAGCCTTGTAGATCTTGGTAGAAGTAAGCTGTCAAGAAGGTTTCTGGAAGGCTGATCTCTGCATTCTAGAAATCCTTTTGATTTTAATTGACAATCCTGTTATTGGAAAACTGTAAGCATCTCTTACAGGCATCACTCCACTTAGAGCTTCAGTATTCCTAATCCAGTCTTACTTAGCTACTGCTTTTTTGGGAAAGAACTAGAACTTTCCTGGGAGAAGTATTTCTGTTTCTTGGACTATGTGTAGAATGTGTGGGTTTGAAAGGTGGCAAGAGTATAGAGTAAGGCATCACGAAGTAATTGTGGATTCAAGTATGTTTTACCAGTTTGTCCACTTAAATGTGTGTTGAAAGGTGCTGCATACTATGAAGAGCTGGTACCCATTTAAAATGCTTATACCTGATGTGGGGTGGAATCAGGTGTTTGTCCTGAAGATCACTCCTGTGATTCATGGGAGTTCATGGAATGAAATGTGCAAGGGAGGTTCTTCAGAGCTGCACATAGGCCAGGTAATTTTTTTTGCTTTTAATCCAAGGTGTTCAAAGGAGAAAAAAAAAAATTAGGTACTTGAAGACTCTTCTTCTTACTGCAGACCTACTGAAAACCAAATCTGTTGATTCATTCCATCTCTTGAAATTTCAACAGTTGTTGATCATTTATGAAGAATCTGGTCAATAATGTTGTAATTTTGCTTTGCTTGGTATTTGAACTTCAGAAAGGTATTTATTCCATCTTTTTCTGTGGTGTGGAGCTTAAAAAAGGATGAAGTACTACTGCCCAGTCACAAGAAGTTTAGAACTACTTTAATAAACTGAGAAATTAGTTTGTTACCATTTGCCTTGAAGTCCAGTTTTGTATTAAGAAAGAGTTACTTCAGATGTGATGTTGAGGCATTGCTAGCAGACTGATATTGCCTATTAGGATTCCATTTGCTAGGCACTTAAGTACTGAAAAGATCAATTATCAGTACTGTGCTCTACTTTTCTCCTTCTGATGTGATTTAATTGTGAAGTATCTGCTATATATAAGTCTGAAAAGAATTGTGGATTGAAACAAAGATGTGATTATTCTAATCAGTTTTCATAGTTCAAGATGCTTAATATAATGTGCTTGATACAATTATTTTTTGTGCTGGGAACTCTGAAGAATTATGGGAATTTCCCACATGTACATTTTCTTCTGAATGATTGAGTAAAGTCAAGACAATTACTTCATTTGGCCTGTGGACAAAGCATTTGATTTCAACGCCTTGCTGAGGAGAGAACTTGTGTATTAATAGTTGCCTAAAGATGTGGATGGATTCTGATAATTCTTTCTACTAGTAAATTGCACAAAGAGGTGCAGTATTTATATCTGAAATTTTGCTGAATGTCTATAATGCTTCATGGGAAATATTTTGTGACTCAAATGGAAATGCTCCTGCAAAGCCTCATGATGCAGATTGTCTATCAGTTGATCAAGTGAGTTTACAGACAAGTAGTTCTGTAATCCCAAATGGCATGTTTTCATTTATGACTAATAGTTTCAGAATGTTTCCTCTTTCATAGAAGAAATTACTGTTATGCAGCAAACAGTTGGAGCAGTTCTTAAGCACCCAATAGCCTGGTTTTAGAGTAAAGAGAATATACTGAGTTGGAAAGGACCCATCAAGGTCACCAAGTCCAATACTTGGTGCTGCACAGGACTCCCCAGCAATCCCACCATGTGCCAGACACCTTCAACTCAGGCAGGCTTGATAGTGTGACCACTTCCTGGGGAGCCTGTTCCAGTGTTTGGCCACCCTCTGTGTGAAAAACCTTTTACTGACACCTAACCTAAAGCTCCTGTGACTCAGCTTCATACAGTTTCCTCAAGTCCTGTCCTGGTCAAAAGAGAAATCTGTCTTATCAGCTGGGCCATGAATGTAGATGATTGCCACTTGACAAAGCTTCCTATGGCCATGTACTAACTGACTTGATATGGTGAACGTTCGCAATGGTAGCAGAACTGAAAACTATATCTGACAAAAGAACAATTAGGAACCAGTTTTGGTAGTTGTATGCTGTTTTCAGGTTGCTGGCAGTCAGTTACATGTGTAATATGCTCTACCTGGTTTGTAGCTGTAACTGTGATGTACAGAAAAAAAGAAAAAACCCACCCCAAAGAAATAAAACCCCTGACCCTCCATCAACAAACCACAAAACAATCTTCCCAAGAACTCGTGAAAACAGAAGCAAATAATGCAATGATATGATACACACTTTTGTATTTTTATTCTTCTAAGGTTATTTGCTGGCTCTTGTTGGCCTCTAGTTCAGTCTGTGTTATTTAAATTCTAATATATGAATTATTTGGATTGAATTCATGTTCGGGGCCATGGTGTTGTATGTATTGATGTACAGCCTTGAATGTGAATAATTATTGTAAACTATATTTTACACCTTTTTTCTGGCTTTATTATATAAATTTTCTATTGGTCGATGATTTAATCATATCTCATAATTTAATGACGGTTTATTCTCCTCTCGACAGATCTCTGTGCTATAGATGTGTAGTTAGTGACTGGATGACGGATTTCACTTATGCTTGGTAGTCTGTAATAAAGGCATGTAGGGTTCTGCGCGGCCTCCGCCTCTTCCTTCCGCCGTGGGGCGGGGGGCATGGGACAGAGACGGGCCCGCGGCCTCCGGCCCGGCGGCAGCCCTGTCGCAGACGTGAGGGCTGTTCCCGGGGCCCCAAGCCGGAGCCGCTCGGGCGGGTGGCGAGAAGGGGCAGGGCGCTGTTCCAGCCGACGCTTCCGGTGGGCGGTGCGCCGAGGGCCAGGCAGCCGGGGCGGCCCCTTCCGGCGGTGGTGAGGATGGCGGCGGAGAACCACTGTGAGTTCCCGGTGCCCCCGGCTGGCGGCCTCGGCGCGGGCGGGCCCTGCCGTCGGTGTAGCTCGGCGCCCCTGCCCGCCGCGGGGCCCGGCAAGTGGGTCAGGCTGAACGTGGGGGGCACCTGCTTCCTGACCACTCGACAGACGCTCTGCAGGGACCCTAAGTCCTTCCTCTTCCGCCTCTGCCAGGCCGACCCCGACCTGGACTCTGACAAGGTGAGCGCCGGCCCCGCCGCGCCCGCTCCCCGCTTCGGGCCCGCTCCGGGCCCGCTCCCCGCCTGCCGCGCTGAGGGTGCGCTGCGGCTGGTGCCCCGTCCCGCTGTGACGCCTGCCTAGGCGGCCGCCGGCGTGACGGGAACGCGGGGCCCGGCGCCGCGGTGAGGGGCGGCAGGAACGACTCTGCTGCCGTGGAGGGAGTCTTCTTGAAGAGTGCTGCTTAATGAGTGCTGTCGTGCGAAGCAGTTGGGTTCGCGAATACAAAACTGCTCATAAATACAGCAGACAGCACAGTATCGTTTGTACGTTTGTGTGATATTTCTATGTCGTTTGACGGAGTTTAGTTTTAGCGGTTTAATGAAATATCTGCATGCACTGACATTTTGTTATTTCTGCACTGTCATTATTCTCTTGTTCCATTACAAGAAGAGAGCAAAGTACTTTGGATAATAATCTCTCACTTAGAGGTAGCATTCTGTCTTTTCAGCAATTCTTAGAGAAAAATGTTGCATATTCTGCATAGATTGCGAGTAGTGGGTGAATATTTTGGTATTCACTCTGACTCATTTTTAGTAGGGGAAGAAAGTTATTAAGATTTCATTTGTGGTGTGATATGTAGTGGTATGTAGTAATGGATATAAAGTGCTGGCTCTGAAAGAAATTTTGGAGCATCACGGACAAAAAAGTTAGGGAAAAGAGAGGAACAGCTTATAACCCTATAACCAACAGGTTGAAAATAAGGAGTTGCTTATTATATATAAATTTTGAAGGGGTTTTTTTCAGTGAGGTTAGTAGATTTCATCATTTTTTCAGGCATAACTTCCAGAAAGGATATTTGAACACTTAGGGAACAGAATGTAATCTTCCTGAGTTAGAAGGAAAAAAAGTTGAAGTCTGGTGGTGTGGGAGTTGTTTTGTAGTTGTCTTTGGTTTTGGTTGAGGTTTTTATGGAGAGATTTAATTTACCTATAAAACCAAATTTAAATATGTAGGCAACTTGCTGATAGGTAAACTGTCTCTTAGGGAGAGAGTAGGAAAGCATTCCTCTAATGCTTCCTAATTAAAAGATAAAGCACTGCCATATGCTCTGGCAAATGGAATGGCCAGCTGTGTCCTGCTCTGTTGTCCAGCATTGTCCGATTCTGCTCTTTTTTGGGATGTGGCCTCACTTTGAGTCCTGTAGCCAGTTTTGGGCAGCACAATATCAGAAGGATATAAGGCTCTTAGAAAGCATCTGAAGGAGGAACACAAAGTTTCTGAAGGGGAAGCCATATGAGAAATAGCTGAGGTCACTTGGCTTCTTCAGCTGGAGAAGAGGAGGCCGAGGGAAGGCTCATCACTGTCTGCGTGTTCCTCTTGAGGGGCAGTATCAATCTCTGTTCTGTGTGACCACTGACAGGATCCAAGGGAACGGCTTGGAGCTGTGTCAGGGAGGTTTATGTTGGATATCAGGAAAAAGTTCTTTCCAGAGAGATTGAACACTGGAACAGGCTTCCCAGGGAATGGTCATGACCCTAAGCCATGAGCTTGACAAAGCTCAAGCACATGATAGGGGTGTTGGGGCTCTGCTGTGCAGGGCCAGGAGTTAGACTTCATCCTTGTGGGTCAATTCCAACTCAGGATAGTCTGTGATTTTAAGATTTCCTTAATGCTTCCTACTGTAAAGAACTGAGAGGCTTCAAGAAAGGTAGCATGTTGGCCTTTAAACTGCCTTCAGGTACTAATGTTGAGAAGGACAGGGCAGCCTGCTGTCAGGTATGTTTCCACTTGTAATGGGAGAAAGATTCACCTTTAGCACACTCTGTGGCCAAACTAGTGTTGAATGCATTAGGAGAGTGACATTGACTCTCTGAATTTAGTATGTTTCAGAGTGTCACTCGCAGCTTTAAAACTGTTCGAGAATCATTTCAGATTTCAGCAAATAAATGAGCTGTAGCGGTTATATTTACTGTTCAGAATAAGATTTGTTTTCCATGGTATTTAAATCTTGGTTTAGAGATGAATACATAAAAATAGACGAGCAGAGCCTTGCTCACCTTGTCATCATTGTTTAATTTAATGCTTTTACTGCATTACTGCTAATAATTTACATATATTCCTTGTTTCAGCATCTTCCTATTTTAGCTATATACCAGTTTTTTATTTGCAAACTGTTATAGCATTCTTTTAACTTTCCCCTAAGAAGGAGATTGTCAAACTTTTGTAATAAGGTTTTGGCAGTAGTATTCATCCTTGATTTTTAATGCCTTTCTAAAGTTGGCATCAAATCTGTCAAAGAAGGGAGCACGCAAGCACTGAGTGTTTGAGAAAAGTCAAAGTCTTCCTGGTAGTGCAGCCTTGACTGTCAGCATTAAGAAATATCTAAATTGTAGTCATTTTTCTAAGAAATAACAGATACATTTCATTTGTCTATGAGATTTCTGACTTGTCAGGTGGGTTGTATTACTGATGTAGTTTTGATAAGTACCACTAGTCTGCAGACAGTTTGTGAAAAATTCACTAGTTCAATATTTAAAAAGCACAGATGATAGAGATGACAATTATATATAAATCCAAGTTTAATACCAAATACTACTGTGTTTCTCTGCATATTGCTGCCTTTATAAGAACTCAGAATATGTAAATGATGTAAAATTAAAAAATTATGTAAAATTAAAATATTCCTGTTAAAGCATACAACCTTGAGCCAAGAGCTTGATGGTATGACTTGAGTGTGTCCAGATCCAGTATTGATCCCAATGAAGATAATTATTGGAAATAAATTTATGACATTTCAGCTAGTGTTTTAATGCAGTTCCTGGGGAGATTGTTAAATCTCCCCAAGAATTGCATTAGGATTAGGGAGGCGTATGTATTTGGTGCACCTTTTGAGTCCTGCTGGAATCCTGTACTGGATTCTAGCATCCACAATTCAAGGTCATAGCAGAGCAGTGAGTAATCACAAGGTGAAATATGATTTGGTGAAAAGTTTTAAAGAACAAAACTTTTTAATGGCATGGAGTTTAAGGAGTGACTTCTCAGTCCAGAGGTATATACATGGAGACAAGAAATCTAGTAGAGAAGCCTGTTCAGTCTAGGAAAGGTGTTGTGAAATACAGCTAGCAAAGTGTCAAATTATAGATGTCCTTGTTAGAAAGTCCATAATATTAACAGTGGCAGTAATTATTTATTGGAATTATTAGGTTTAACTGCTACTTTCTAAAGGTTATAAATAAATTGAGTTCTTTGTGTGTTTTAAACTAAGATGAGGGTAAGTGTTCATTATGATTCCTTTGAGCTTCAGTCTCTATAAAGATTGAAGTGAAAACATTTGCAACTGGAATACATGATCATTTAGTTGCTTTGGTCAGTATTTTTCAAAGGAATGTAATTGTGAGCTACACTGACTTTTCATTGGTATGCTGAACCAGGTGATTGAAAATTTAAGAGCAAGTTACTAGATTTCCTCTAAAATTCCATGGTGTTTGTAACTTGAACTAAACATTAGTGTGGGAGAGTGGTAATAAACAAATGCAGTCTTCACTGTACGTAGGCAATGCTGTCTTCTAAATGGTGTCCTTGTAAATATGCATGAAAACGGCCTAGAACTTGCAGACAATGAAGAAAAAAGCTCTTCAGAGAAGAATGTAATGCAAAAGTAGAACTGGGTAAAGATACAAACAGTCCTGTGATTAACTAGCAGTTTAGGGTTGGATGCACAAAGACAATGAGCATTTGTTTTGAATTTTCTTATGAAGAATGACAGCATTTGCAGGAAACACCTCTAAGTGTGGGGTGATATGACTGTACTGAATACAGAGGAAAGTTGAATTTCTGTTTTATTTCTAATTTTACCTGCTGTTCTGGTAAACAGTAACACCTGTTTCTATAAAATACATCTGAAAGAGAGAGAACTTTGAAACCTTATTAGAATATAGGTTTATCTGACATTTGTGGTATTCACCCGAAGTTTAGGAAATGGCTTCAAAATACCTACACTAGTTGTGTCAGTGAAGATGCAAACTTTCTCAAAGCTTGTAGAAAAAACAATTTACTAGTTAGCAGAGGAAATTGCATAGCTGGGACATCAAAGCCTGTTAATAATTAAGCTAGCGAGCGTAAAGCTAGTTATGTACATGCAAACTAGCAACCTCTTTTAATTGTCCGGTTCACATTGGATCACGTTTGCAATTTATTATTTTATCTTTCAATAAAACAGTTTTTATTAAAAAGTGTCAAAAGGCTAGTTACATGTGACTACACAGTGTGTTTTCATGTGCATGTGGATGAAAATAGTCCTGATAATATTCTGAAAGACTTACGACGTATTTTTAGAGTTCTAGGTAGAGCAGATGACTACGCTTCTGTGTCAGCTTGTATTGGATTTATGTTTACATAAATATCCTTAAAGATCTAGTGTAATCGGCCTTTCTTAGTGATTTCAACATGAAGTGCTTAGCATACACTGAAGGATATTCAGGCAGCTCACTCAAAAGGAGGAGTGATAAGGCATTTTCTATAGGAAGGTGCTGAGGAAGTAAATTTTTTGCACCACTCACCTGTGCCTTATTTGCATATGGTTACAATATTCTTTACTGGTCGGTTCATCTCTTGATTCTTGGCTCCCTGGTGCTAGTGTGTAGCATATCTGAGCTGTCAGGTCAATGTTCAAGACACACATCCTCCTCTTAATGTTAGTTAATGCATATTTTCTGAGTCTATAATCTGGGTAAGCAACTTTTGCATGAATTTAGATGCTTAAGTGAATCCTGTTGACAGAATTTGGTTTGCACACTGTTAGAATTTAGCCAGGGTTCTTTAACTGTTGATATTTTCTAATGTTTTAAAAAAATCTATTACAGCAAAAATTATAGGACTTTTGTGTGCCTTCTTTTTTTATTATTTTTCAAGCCACCTTGTCTGAAAGGCTTCCAGAGTAAACTATGAGACTACTGAGATTTTTTTTCGTGTATGACCTCTCATAAGGTGGAATTTGAAAGAGAAGAGCTGACATAGCTTCTTCCCTTTGTGGTTTTGTTGGAAGCTTGTTTCATATATAGAAATCAACTCAGAAAAGTACAATTTCAGATAATGAAGGCCTTTAAATAAAAAAGTTCAGGCCTTTTGTGAAAGGAGTGAAGTAGCCATTGCTACTTAAGATTTCGTTTAGAGCTTTTAATGACTTTGCTTCTGTGACCCACCTCTCTATCATTGAAGTGGTGTAAAGCTGACAACCAGTATTGCTTCAGAAGGGGATGTGAGAAGACACTGCAGTGTGAAAAATTACAATCATCTTAATGAAGAAGATTATTTCTAGAGATTGGTTTTTCCTAACTCCGAAGACTTCCAGTTTTGTAAGCCCTGTGTTTCTTAATGCAGTTCAGATGATGACCAAGTACGGGGCTTTTTTCTTGAAAACAGCTTTTATTTTTATCTGTTTTGGATTTTCCTTTCCAACCTCACTGGTTTCTTTTCCTTTACTAAATAATACTTTTCAGCCTATAATTCATACAGTTGTCAGCTATTCTAATTTCTTTGGGTTGTATCTGTAGATTGCACATTCTTGAAGTGTTTTGGTTATGTAAACATATTTATAGATTAAATATTAAAATTAGTCTACTTCATCTGTCTACTGGTTTTGATGCATAGTCTTGCTTTTGTGAGACCATGAGCTTAGATCAGAAGAAATTGTGATTAGACTTCATCAAGCATTGTCTGGTCTGAGTGTAGGTTAACTGACAGCACATTTTAATATGTTAGCATTTTATTGAACAGTTAATTTTCTACAAAATTATACACTCCTTCACTTCTTCTGAAATGACACTGTGTCTAGGTGTGTAAAGCATTTAATTGTAATTATAGAAAGGGTTTTGGCTTTTGTAGTTGAGGTTGTGGTCTTTCTACATTCTACCAATCCTGGTTGGACAAGTGCATTTATTCAGAAACTAAATCTATGTACCTGAAAATACATCCTCCATGTTTTTTTCCAGCAAAACATTTGAGGAACTCTACATACTGTTAAGTAGAGAGAGCTTTCAGATACCACAGTTCAGTAATTAGATTTTTCCATATAGGCATTAATGTTCAAATGCAGATGATTGAGTCGGTAGAGTTTCTTTCTTTCACTAGCAATTATTGCTAGTAGCGATGGTTTTGAGGGAGTATGATCCACATTATTGGTAATGATAATTTTTTTAGTATCTCCTGTAAACTACTAGAATATTAAAAATAAGAATAAGTAAAAAGGTATTTGGGGTGCTGCTACATCTCTTTAGTAGATATCTGTAGGATATCCATTACACCAAAACCTTATGGACTAATAGATTAATACAGTCAGTAACCCACTTGATAGTAGAAAGGAGCAGTAGATCAGTTAGAAATCTTTCTATGAATCTTCCTTAGATCTCCAGCCAGCACAAGTGTGTCAGTACTATCTTGATTGCAGGGGTTCACACATAGATTCTAAATAACATAGGAATTACCAATTTTGCTTCTTTATCTCTTTGTCAAGAATATCAGCTCTGCAGGTGAATCTCCTGAACTGTTTCGCAATTCACAAAACGCTGTAGTCTGTTTGGTAAATTGAGCATTAGTTTTCATCTATTCATCTATTACTTTGCTTGTCTGCATGAGATAGGTAGGAGTTGCATCTTCTACTTTTTTTTTTTTTAGAAGATGCATGTACAACCCTTGCTTGGTATACAGCAGTTCACAAAAGCAAATGTTTTTAGAGCAAAGCGTTGAGGTTAAAAAAAGTCAAGTTTGTTTGCCTTTAATTAAAAAAAAAAAAAAGAAAAAGGAAAAAACTGGTATTTGAAGCTCGCTAGAATGTAGCCATTGTTCTGACTCTTCAGGCTCCCAAACAAGATTTCCTGGTTTTAAGTGCTATTTTTAACCTTAACTTTTGGTGGTCTCACTTACTGCTTAGATCTTTCATGCTAACGATGTTGTTAATCATTGATAAGGGGTTAAGGGGATTGATCAAATAAGAGAAGTTGTGTATTGGATGATTTGATTGATCAGTCTGATACCATGACAGTTATATTGTTTAATTCCTTTTATTGTCTTTAATAAATCCAGCTTTCAGGGGATGTGACTATATCTGCATACCTGCTTGCTGCAAGATGAATATTAGCTTGCAGTTCCCACTTGGATGTTCAAATCATTGTGAGGTTTTTGGTTTGTTTGGTTTGGGCTTTGGTGTTCTCTTCCTTTGTTTTGGGTTGTTTGTTTGGTTTGTGTTTGTTTGTTTTTCTAATCTAGGATGAAACAGGTGCCTATTTAATAGACAGAGACCCAACCTACTTTGGGCCAGTGCTGAACTATCTCAGACATGGAAAACTGGTTATTAACAAGGACCTAGCTGAGGAAGGTAAGACATCTCTAAATATCTCGTTTGCTTGCCACTTGCTTATTATTTTCACTTCTTTTGAATCACCAAAATTAGCTTAGAACAAGATGGCAAACCTTAACCAGTGTAGCATTTCTATCTGTTTCAAGCAAAACTGATAGGTATCATGCACTTATAGTTTATGGTGTTATTTGAGCATTTTGAGTACAATTCTTGATTTCACAACCCCCATTCTCAGTTGGAACATAAGTATTCAAACAAGAGGGGGGATGCCTTTTATTGTGTAATCTTGTATCTTTCCTGTGTAACTGTGAAATATTTGGGTTTAGTTCTCTTTAAGCAAAAGAATGCTGCCTAGGGAGCAAGCTTTAGAAGATGTAAAGCATACTAAAAGTGAAGTTCTGGCATTGTTCAGATGTGTGGAATATGCTTTTAAAGACTGAATTCTGTGCCCAGCTTCTCCCTCCTTGTTCCCAGTTTGTATCAATTTTACCCTAATGGAGGATGACTTTTAAAACGTACAGTAATAAAACTGTATTGATAGCATATTGAAGAAATTTATCAAAGAGTAATACAATTTAACAATACTAGGGGGAAATAGTGTGAAATATAATTTCCATGTGAATTAGTTGAGCATTAGGTAAGCACAGTTAAGCATACTGCGTGTGGAGAACAGGTAGGCCTTGAACATGTGAGTAGAAGCAGTATATGTCTTCAAGCTTTTCTTTCAGACTCTAAGATCTCAAATGACAGGAAGAAAAATTTTATGCTTGCTAGCAGCTGCAGAGATTTTTCAGTAGGATTATTTAAATTTCTCTTTTGCATTCCAGCCTGAGGCAGGGCCTGAGGTATGGTAGTCTTAGTAGTCTGCTATGGAACGGTATCTGTGCGCGTTTTTTTGTTTCTTATCTTGTTCTGTATGTGAAGTGGCATCGGTTTTCTTTGGGATATTTTTAGGGCAATTTTTTAGAATGAGCCAAACATTGAATTACATGTACCTGAAAGAAGCCAGAATTGTTAGGTTGGTGAACTGCCTTATCATAGAGAAAAGTAAATAATTTTCTGTAGCTGTTGAGAAGATAATCTTATGAACTGGTTGGTGATTTTGGCCTGGAGTCTTTAGTTATACTGTCTTCCCAAAAACTGTTTTCATACTAGGTGTACTGGAAGAGGCTGAATTCTACAATATCACATCTCTAATAAAACTGGTAAAGGACAAAATAAGAGAAAGAGACAGCAGAATCTCTCAGGTGAGGCTGTTTTCTTGTGTTCTTTTGATTATTTGTTCTATGACAAGTAGTGGGTTCCATTTGTTTTTTTAATGTATCTCCTGATTTCCCCAGTAAGATACTGAATGGCTGCCTCCATCACTGGATGATCTGGAACCACTAGTATACAAAGATTAATATTCTTAATTGCTGACTCCTGCCAGTTTGCTTACAAACTTAACAGATCTCTTTCAAAAACTGAACACATTCTAAGTAATTGTTCCAAAATGTTTGGTAATAGTAGAATTTGTCATAATATCATTTCTGGAAATAGTTATGTTAGAGAACAGGTTTTGTAGAGCATAGCTTTCTCATTGACTTTTAAATGTTCTGAATATGATGGGGTTGCCTAACTATGCTATAACTGCTGTTTATACAGTATGTTTATGCAGCGTATATACATACAGATGCTGTTTAGTTCCTGTCATGTTTTTGTAGCAAAGTTGCTTTCTTTATTTGTAATGCTCTGTGATTGAGAAGGTTGCCTCTTCTCATAGCAGCTCATGTTCTCCATGAAAGTGAATATGGTGAAGTTTGTTCATTAACTCTGCTTCTCAGGTAACTGGTAACTTCCCTGGTAGCTGATTCTTCATGGAGATACTACAAACTTACATTGTTATTGACAAATTTCTCTTTAAGCTAGGTTGTTGGATCGCAGGGGTGCTCTGATAGCATTTACTGTTTGTCTCTGCTACAATGGCCCTAGTTATTCATTGCTCTGGATGGGTTCAAAATGGTGTTGCTTACCATTTCTAGAGAGTAAGGGCAACTTCAGACAAGTCACAAACATAGTGAATTCCATGCCCTGTTGAGCATCTTATATTTCTTCTTAAAGGTGCCAGTCAAACATGTATACAGAGTGCTGCAGTGTCAGGAAGAGGAACTCACTCAAATGGTTTCCACAATGTCCGATGGCTGGAAATTTGAACAGGTAAAAAATCCCTATGGGATATAGTTAACACAGTCTTCTAAGAAATGAGTATGAAGTACCTTTTGTGAAAGAGGACTATAAATTAAATTCCATGCATCTTTTTTTATTCAGTCATTTTCAAAATTTGGATAAACATACACAGCGAAGTTAAAATGTGATACTTGTGTTTGCATTTATCATAAAACAAAAGAAAAACTCAGCTTTCCAGGAGGTAAATTTTGCTGACTTTCTATAAAAACATCTGCAACGTCTGAAATGCAATTCTTCAGTGTCTACTCATGAGCAGCTGAAGGGTGAATCAACCAGAATTAACTTATAACTTCAAGTTTATGTGAATGATAGGTTAGATATGAAGAGCTCTGGGTAAAAGAGATGAGCTTGGGAGATAAATGTTTGCCAGGCCCAAAGCGTGGTTCTTCAGATAAAAAAACCTTATACATAAAGGAGGATGGATTTTACCTGTGTAGATGTGAAGCTTGATAGCTGTGAGCTATGTGAATGTTCTTGTTCTTTGCAGTGCATAAAAATAGCTTTGTGTGTACATTCAAGAACACACTGTAAAAATTGCAAGATCTATCTGTTATCTTTGATAATTTCTGTAAGTAAGAAATGAACTGTACAGCTGCTTTATCCTTCACATTTCTAATCCAGCAGAGTATTTAAAGTGCATTGGAGCAATGAATCTGTTAACTCTGAAACACAAGTGTTCATCTGCTAGCATCTTTTTCAGTGTCTGATGCTTACAATAGGAGAAATTGAAATAAGCACAAGCCCATTATCCTGTGTGGTCTCACTGTAATAACACAACAAAGCAACGTTTAAGAAATGTTTATGACACAAAGGTGAAGGAGAACATTTTATTTATATTTGACAAAATATGTAAGGTGCTGGTAACGTGGAGACAGTCATGAGCAAATAGAATAAACAGACACAGAGCAAGCTTTTTATGCTTCAGTACTCCACTTCAAGTGTTACCAGCTCTGTTTGCCACGCCACAAGCTAAGTGTTGTTTAAGTCCCTGAAAAAAACTCACTTAATACACTACTGTTTTTTGACTAGTGCAGGGAAAGAGGTTTTTCAACATTCTCTTTGTCAGGAGAAACTAACTTTCATTACAAATAGAGCTCCTTTACTTCTTAGCAGCTTAAATGACACCATATCTTTTACCTATCCTTAACCCTTCGGGGATATTTTATTTAGGAGTAATACTGCTTTGACAGTGCAACTGCTGAAAGACCTATTATAATCTCTTTTAGAACTGGAATAATCCAGTGGTTCTCTTGGACATTACATCCTTGTTTCATCCAGCTGTCTCCCTACTTCCTCCCTCTCCCATGTCGAATATTTTTAGACACATAGTTTGAAGTAGATAAACAGAACAGCTGTATGATCTCATAATACTTAGCGTCTCATTACCTCACACTAGCCCATTCCCTCCTTTGTACTCACTTGAAACAGGATTAGAATATTGTGCATAAACAGTTTTATTGTAAATACCTTCAAACACTGTAGCATTTGGTATTTTTTTTTAAGCCCATGCTGCTCAGCAGCATGCTTTCCTTCAGAAGCAGTCTTTGGGCTGGTACCCACCATGCTCTGTACGTGAAAAAAGATGGACTCATCAGCTTTTTCAGAGGAGTGATATTTTTACAGATTAAGAGTCCTTGTGCTCTGAGCCACATATAACATGTTCAAGTGGTTGGTTTTGAAAAAATGTTTTTTTACGCTTAGCATTTCAAAATTTTATAGTTAAATATGATTGTATGCGGTTATTAAATAGGAGTAGAAGGTGCTGAACTGTTGGTGCACTAATGCAGATGTATTGATGCCCTTTTCCAAAGAACACATTTGAAAGCTCTGCTAGAATAGTACAATTATGTATTAGTCCCAGTCCAAAATCTATTACCAAAAATTATGCTGCCCCACTTTCCTGAGTTATTTTGTAGAGGATTTTTAGCTTCAATTGTTGCCTCTTCAGTCAATCAGAAAAAAACACAGTATTTTGGCAATACAACAGAATAAAAAACTGTGGGCAATACAAAGTGGCTAAATAGAAATGCTTTAGACAGCAGTGGCATTGATCATGTATATTTTAATGATTAATGTAACCTGAGTCTGGCACCATAATGCAGTCGTAAGTTTGTTTACTGTATGAGGAGGATGGCGTTTAACTGCTGTCTTCAAAATTATTCACACACAATAGCAGGATATAGATAAAGTTACTATTTGTGGGCCTTCTCATCTGTTGTAATCTCCAGTTTTCTCAGAATAGGCAATTGTTGTCTAACTCTTCACATATAAATTAAGTTCTACTCTCTCTAAAGTGCACTGAAAAGCTATACTTCAATTTAAATGGGCTAGGAATTGCCTTGTGTTATTAAGGCAAAATATGTTTTGTGATAAGAGGTTGAGAAATTTAGCTGCGGTTGAATTTTAAATTATTAGATGTTTGGCCAGTGTTCTTGGTAGTGATTTTTGTGGGAACAAGACAATTTTTTACATTCCAGTTATTTTCTTGGATCTTCTGTAAATTACTCTTTCTAAAACTAATCTAGACCACTCAACGTTTTTTCCTCTCGTTGACTTCTTATGTTTCCTTAGCTCTATTTTATCAGTAGTTGCAACAAGATGAAGCTCTTTAATACCCAGGCTTTATATATTGCTTTACATAACACCCTCCAGTCTTATATTCATGCTGCCTTCTCCACTTGTCAATGTATGACAGGAAAATAATGGTTACTTTTATAACGCACCAAAATTTGTTTGTTTTTCAGAGTAGTTGGCTATAACACAGTTATATGGGGAGTTTTCTGTCTTCTTATCAGTAATTCTTGACTTCCATTTAAATTAAAAAGGGCTTTGCAACTGCCTCAGTAAATTTTAAGTTGAAATGAAAGTTGTAGCTTGATAGCAACCTGTTCCAGTGGCGAGTAAGTGTTACCTGAATGTTTGAGCTCATCTGCTACTTGTACAATTTGGATAACGGTATGTACCTCAGCTTTACAAAGGTTTCTTTTTGTGTTTTGCTTTGATTGGTTATTTCAGCTTATCAGTGTAGGTTCCCAGTACAGCTGTGGCCGGGCTCAGCAGTCAGAGTTTCTGCTGATAGTGTCACGGGAAGTGAAAGGGGAAGAGAGATGCTTCCAGAAATGCTGCAGTGAGGTGTGTCACACCATTCTTTTTGCCCTCACGGTGATATGCTTGGCCTCCTTGCGTTTCTGCTGCTTTCAGATCATTCCACTTTTTTTCTGGATGTACAGCACATAGTAGTTTGTGTGTATTTGTGACTGGCTTTTATTTATATTCACGATATTTCATTACACATTATGAATGTCCACATTGTAAAAATAATAGAAAAACAACCGAACAAAAATCCCTCGGTTATTTAGTTCAAGGTTTTTCTTAGGGAGAGTTCTTACTTCCACAATAGCTTCTTTTCCTTAAATTTTCCTCCAAAATTAACAGCCTTTGATCAATACTTGTTAAGTAAGAGGTACAATTCAAACGTAAGGAGCCCTAAAAATACACCTTTGAGTTCAGTGGATCCAGAAGGGGACTTTTCTGGTAAACTAGGAAAATTATTATTTCATCCACCAAAGTTAAGTTCTGAGTTTGAACCCTTTTTTTCTGGTAACTCAGAACTTAACTCTTTTTTTAGGTGAATGAAAGATGTTAAAATTTGAATAACGAGTAACAGGAGTTTTTATATGTAAAATATGGAGGAGTGAGGGGAGAGCAAATTAGACAGTTTTAAATCTTGTGTCAAGTTGAAAAAACGTGCTGGGTGTTACCTTGGCTTTACTGTTTTGTTGTTTTGGGGTTTTTCCATCTTGGGAAATTTTCTTGAAATCCAAATGGAGAATCCTAGCTTCGTTAATTCTCTATTTTTTTCATCCCTCCTTTTCCCCTTGTTCTTCTTTTTTGATTGCTGTGTTACTTACAAATATTTGTGAGTTTGGGAAGGATTTTTTGCTCTCAGTAATGTTGGAGGCAGTTTCTGTTTCTTTAAATATCTGTGCTACACTTTGAAGTGTTGTATGTGAATTTATTTGGGAACCTGGTACTCTGTATTTTTTTTCATCAACAAAATGCCTGGAGTACTTGTTCTTTTTCTTGCAACATATATGGTTATTTAGTCTGAAAGATGAGTATAACATTATGAAGATAACATGATAGTGAAATGGCTTAATAAAAGCAAACCTTTGCTTGTGACTTTATATGGACACATAATCATGCAATACTAGATTTGAAACCCGGACTGTTACCCAGCCTTATAGCAGAATCTGCTTTCAATGTACCAAGCACTATCTGTTTCTTGCAGTTATATAGGTAACATTTGGAATGTGAAATGTGGGTGTTTCTTACTTCCGGCAACAGAGAAAGAATTGTGGCTTGTAAGTGATGTGTAGGGTACAGGCAGAATGATGTTATTCATGCATTCATGTCCTGGATAGCTCAAAGTAAAAGACAGCATTGTAAAATGGAAGGTGGGGAGGACAGTGAAGAAATTAATGCAGGTATAAAATAAAATAAAAATTATAATAAAAAAAATCTTTGAAGTCTGACTATTGCATTAAGAGACCTAAAATAAATACTCTTTCAGGCCTGGTGTCAGTCATCAGTGCTGAGTTTTAAGAGCTGATATGTATGTATCTTCATAAACTTTTGCAAATCCTTTGGGAAGGCAGAATAAATGCATTGTATGTTTAAAAGGCATAGAGTCATTTCTTAGATTCATACAACTTGATTCTGTAAAAAAAAATTGAGTGGACGATTTTCTTTGATTTTATTAGGTGATAGTATAATTAAAAATTTTGAAAGGACCGTTTTTTCAAGCTTTCTAGTTGAAACAAGGGGTTCACCACATCTGAAATGGAAGCAGTAATATTCAAAGTACAAGAATATTTAAAATAGAATTTGAGAATAATTGTTACAGAATTTACTTGGTTTTGAGGATTAGAGCATCACAAAATAGAGAAGAAAATTACTAGTGGTGAATAGGAAAGTTAGTTAAAATTAGTAACTCCAGTGGTAAGCAGAGGAAGAAGGAAGATGAAGAAGAAGAAGAAGAAGAAGATTGGGCTGCTGTTTGTGCAGGCTGGAGTGGTTATCTGAGATAGCAATACTGTTGCTGATTTGTCTGGTAAATATATCATATAGATTTTGAATCAATATTATTAAAACAATGCAGCAAATCTGTATAGGCATGTTACTGAAATGTGTCTGGTTTAGAGATCTGTCTCAGTTCAGTTAGGCATGAGATTAGTTCACTTCAAAAATAAGGTTCCTTATTATGAGACAGGAAATTCCTTCTTGTGATTTCTTTTCAGGAGAATTGTGATCTCTATTAGCACATCAAGCAATAACTATATTTCTTTTGATTTAATAAAAATAAAAGTAATGTTGCTTTCCCATTCTTTAACCCTTATGTCATGCAAGCAGTAATGGATCCTTATCTAATGAATTTTCTGTGATAAGTCGCATTGGCATTTTCCTGTGCTCAGTTCTCGTGCTGTTGGGGCTTACAGGGATGCTTAAATAGGATCACACTGCTTTAGTAAGGAGTGTAATGAAACAAGCCATGGAAGGAAAAAAACAATGCAGAAAAATAGATATATGTATGTATATGTACATATGCGTATATATATAAAAGCGTACGAATCTATGGAATTTACCATTTCACCATGTTATTTTATCCTTCCTTAAGTTCTTGGTAATTTAAGCTACATGAAGCAAATGTGGCTTCAGAACAAAAACAGTTTGTCCTTTCAGAAAGTCTGAGAAACAGTAGGCTGGATAATCTGAAATCCTTTGACCTGTTCTTCATACCTCAGATTACTCTGATGTGTTGTGGCTTCTTTTGGGGTGTGGGATGGGGGTGGTAGTGTGGGGGCAGATGGACATGACAGGGATAGTCTTCCAGTTTATCAGCATCCTTCTTAAACTGTAGTCACCAATACTGGGAACAGTGAAGTGACTTTTGGAATAGGAGTGCTAAAACATATTTCTGATCTCAGTTCCCGACAAAACAGTTCAGTTCTAATCTGCAATCATTTTCTATTGTTTCTTTTTCTGCCATCACCCTTGTTGTTGATCATTTCAGAAAGCTACAATGACATTTCTAGCATACAGTTGCTACTATGCAAATGCTACATTTTTGACTGCACACATATCAAACTGCTTATGAGAGTATTGTGAGTTGGAGTTTTGAGGAACTTGGGTCTCATTCTGCAAAAGTGACTTTATCAGCTGTTCAGTAGTGGCAAAACGTCATTTGATGTTTTGCAGTCAGCTAAATTGATAGTCCTATCCAACTGGCTAAAAATATTCAATCTGCCATGTCTCCTAAAAAAAGACTTCCGTGCAATACATTGATTTACATGATTGGATTATGAAGAATTTGTTAGTAGCTATCAGCTGAAGACCTGTCAACCTGGTTGAAGCAGGATTGATGATTTGGCTGATGTTTGGGTCTTGTATGGTATCTACTTTCAGAGAGGTCATTTGTTTCTTTAGAGTGTCAATAAGTAAAGAAGTATTTTTCCTTCTGGTAGTTAACATAGCTTACCTGATAACTAGTCCTTGCCATTTTCCAAGAAGAAGAGTCAACTGTATATTAATTAAATCGTATGCTTGAATTCTTCAAACTTCAGAGAAGGTGAATTTTGAGTGGCTTTATTTAAATATGTATGCAATTTTTTTTAATGTTTTCTAGCCTTTAAGTGGGTTAAAAATGTTGTTTAATGTCCTACCTTTTACCTTAATAATTGACACAGTTACCGTATTTGTACAAAATGGTTTATAATTGCTATATAATGTATAGTGTAAACTTTGTACCACTTTGTTGGGTTTAAAGCAACTTAATTGCTTTTATTTTCTGAAAATCTGTGCATATTTTTTTGTTGATAGGAAAGACAACCAACAAATCATCTTAATATACAAAGTAAATTTGAGTTGATTTTCCAGCTTTTCAGTAGACTTTCTTAGTCCATCTTGTGCAACTAGTTACTCTCTGGGGTTCATGATTCTGTGTTGCACAAATACCTTACGGTGCAGACTGCAGAGTATTCATTGTGAAAGAGTAGCTGATTTAACATCTCAAGGTAAATAATGTCTTTATATCCATTGGTGCTTCTAGAAAACCTGGGTGTTTGTAACTTCATTACACAGTTTTGGTTGAAAAAATGTCTTTGATGATAATTTTTGCCTGTGTTCATTGCTCTTTATATATATATTTTGCAGAACTAGAGTGATGTTAGAAGAGGAAGAGGCAGGGAAGGTTTCTGGTGATCACATTCAGTGTAGTTAAAGTACGTAATTTGAGAATGATGAATTTTGATGGGCAGTGCTGCTCATGGAAAGCTGAGCCTTGTATGCTGTAATATCATCAGGCTCCAAAAATTTTTGGCAGTGCCTAGGCCTGACATCAAGTTGATTCATTATGTAGACACACTGCCTACTACTCTTTGTAGACATTGACTCTGTCCATCTGTAGAAGTGCTTGCTTGGCTGTCTTAACTGCAGTCCAGGAACATCTGAACATCTCTCTCCTCTCCATAGAAAGTACAGTGAGACTTTGTTTTCTTCTAACAGTGCTATATGGAAGCTACTTTTCACCTTGGTCTAACTTCAGTTTTTGTTGGGGGAATAATTTTATCCCTTATGTGCAAACTCTGGATCAGGATTTCATCTTGGCTTCATCTTTCATGCTTTAACAAATCTTTTACTCTCTTTGGTGTTCTGCTAGACTAAGGGTAGCACACTATTTGTCTTTACAGAGGTAACTGCAGTGTTTAGAAAAATAAGTTAGGCCTTTTCTATGTGGCCATTTCTAGAGCGCTTAAATGGTACAGTAGAAATTGGGGAATAGGGCAGTCTTATTGTATATGTGTGGTGATTTGGTAGATAGATTAAATATAGTGTGGGTAATGACAAATTGACACAGTGTATCTGTGCAACAGTTGTATTTTTAGGATTTTGATCTGTGTCAGTAGATCTGACATTGTAAAACATACATTATCTTGTTGTGCTTTTGAAATAAAACTTTAAAATAAATGAACCAGCTACATCTGAATTGAATCTGGCTTGGAAAGGCAGGCAAGCATGTAAAGCTTCTAGCATATTAGGTAAGTGTATTGTGTGTAAGGTAAGACAATTTCTGCCATTTGGTAAACATGCTGCATAAGAAGTAGTAGTGATGTTGAGTATATTCTTCTTTCTCAGTAAATTGTCATTTATCATTCAATGTAGAGACTGTAGAAACTTGTAAATATGTCACATTTCATTATACATGGCTTCTGCTTGTAGCACTTCCTTGATTAACTTCCTTGTAGCAGTACGTATGAATTTCAGATGTTAATCTTGATGTCCCACCATACCGTGTCTTGTTGTTTTCCAATCAAATGCAAATATTGTGTTTGTTCATTCAAAATATGTTTTAATAGAAATACCATTATTCTGTAAGTACTGATGGGTATCCCTTCAGGCTAAAGAGGATCCTGCATGCAGCCATTTACATGTTAAATCATGCCACGTTAAGATACTGCATATAAACTTTAGAAATTAACTTTGGAGGATAGGAAGGTTTCTAGTAAATAACAGAAACAGGGAACAGGCTACTTCTTCACTGGCCTGCCTCCAGAGTCTTTTCTTTCACAGTGAATCATTAATTCTGTAACTGTTTAAAAATAACCTGTGTGTATCTTATCATCAGAGTATGTATTGTCAATGTATTTGTCAGCATCAGAACGTATTTGCATTGAAGTGCAGAATCATGCTTCAGGCACAGCCTACAGTCTGAACCGTGAGGAATGTTTGTACTAATCATGAGACTTTATGGAATTTGTTTTATGTGGGGATACAACTGACTTTTTTTTTAAATTTCATCTTTCAGCTGGTCAGTATTGGTTCTTCCTATAACTACGGCAATGAAGATCAGGCTGAATTTCTGTGTGTTGTCTCAAAGGAATTGCATAACACTCCTTATGGCACAACCAGTGAACCCAGTGAAAAAGCAAAGGTGAGTTACTAGGCACTGGACTAAAGAAATTGTGTTGAATTGAGTGGGCTACACAAGTCATGATAGATCTACCTCTGTTGTAGACTATTATTTCATTGTCCCCCCCATTTTTTCCCCCCTTGTTCAAGACTAATAATGATTCCCTGTCCATTGTATGAGGGACTGTAAATGGTACAATCAGCATGCATTTGTTATGCATGCCCAAATTATTTAAATACAATGCTCTGTACTTTTTCAGGACCTGTTTTTTTTCAGGTATTGGCAAATACTTGCTCTTTACAGCTGAGAAACTTGGTTTTGTTTATTATTCAACATATAACACTGGTTCAGTTAAAAACTGTTTTTCTTGCTTGGCCTCTGCTGAAGAAATCTTACTGTTGAGAATGGAACTTGAAAGATGCTATCTCTGTAAAAGTCATGTGCAATAAAATGAGGGTACTTGTTAATGCTTCTAGGGTTCTACCAAGTTTAATTTCTGTAACCAGCTTTATAATAAGATTGTCATGGGCACAGTATCTTAGCATTTTACTCAGCTGTATTTCAGAATTTGTACAAAGGAAAATGTAAAACCACAGCTGACTAATCATAAGGCAGAGCAGTTCTGTAATGTAAGTGTACTCAGAGTCATGAATGGTGAACAGCTTTTATCATTGTATTGCTGCTTTGTATGAGGAGATGACTACAGACAAACTGGATACATCTGTAGTTGTCTAAAAAGCTTTTGATTTCCTTTATGTAGATGGAAAACAATTGATAAATCATCAAAGCTTGCTTTTTCAAAAATCACCTTCAAAGAAATTGGTTTTGAAATAATGCTAAGAATGGGTCTGAGGTCTCAAATAGATAAAACTTCATTACTTTCTATGCTTATGCAGCTACACATATGGAATAATTTTATAATTTGAACTATAGAAGTACTCTAAGCTGTATGTTGGATTCCTAGCGAAACGAGTAATTTAAGTCCATCGCTGTTGAGATAAAGCTTCCAAAGAGTTGTAGAGGATTAATGTAGCTGGGGGTAAACACACACACACCACCACAATGAAATAATCGTGACACTGGGTAAGCCATGACTTACTCTTTCAAAACCCTAGTTAAGGTCTGGTTTTGCCAGGATGCTTGAGGAAGACTGTGAAAGTTGACATGTTAGAGGTGTGTGGTAATAATTTAGGGCTGAGATATCTACCTGAAATAAAAAGTAGAATTCTAGTGCCTAATCAAGATCTTCATAAGGAGTGGTAGTGCATCTCTAGTAGTTGCCAGAATTAAGTTGCATCCTTGATGTAATAGAAAATATGGGTCAAAAATAAGTGTTAACGACAAAAACCAAAAGCTAGTTGAGACTGCATTACAACTGTGTAAATGGAGTAGCGCTAAGAGAGGCTGTCTTAGACGTCTTCATTAGTGTGCTGCTTGGTCATTATTTCAGAGAAGAGAGCAGAGCATCATTTGACCACTGTGATGAATAGTAATTACTGTTAATTTTTGTTGGAGGTTCCCTCCTTTTGTCCTGGAAGAGTTAAGCTGTTCCTAGCAATTAATAGGCGATACATGAAGAATAATTCTATTATATATTAAGTTTCTCAAAGATCATATTTTTGTATATAGGTATATGTTGTGACCGGGAAAAAAAGGAAAAATCATTTATTTTTTTCTTGAGAGGTTTCTGACAGCTGTGTTCAGGGGTCTTGACTTTGGGAGATGTTGTCTCCATAGTTCCCTCTTAGCAAGCATTTTCCTCTCGCCTCGGTAGTGTCCGACTTGGTCTTCATGAAGTTCATATGATTGAAATTCTGGTATCCACCTTTATATACAGAATAATATGTTCGTGTACTGGGACTGACTTACAAGAAACTCCTCCTATTACTTTTACAGCAGATTGAGTTAGAGAAGGAAAAAAAACCAAACTGCCAATATGTATTTTTTATTGACAAGCACTTCAGTTTTAGTTAATAGTCCTGGATTTTTAGAATGGGAGAAAGTATCTTCTGATAGCCATCTAATCATGCTTCATCTTCATTCCTTCTTAGGGACTTTTTTCTTGTGTTTTCTTTTTTTAGTTAACAGCATAATAAGTTATAGACAACTTCTGTGTAACCTTCTAATACACCTAAACAAAGAAAATTCATCTTAAATGGTTCCATTGGCTTTTACTGGTAGCCATGACACAACCAAAAGATAAGCTGTATTCCCACAAGCAGTATTCTCTTTCAAACCACTTTATGGACCTGACTGTTGGCTTCTATCTGCTGACTTCAGGATGTTTGGAAGAGGAAATTGTCATGATATCTGTTACGTTCCTTCTTGAAATGGTCAGCTGTCATACTTTTTTATATAAAGAGTGGAGGTCCCAGGTAAAAGTAAATAAATGTCATTGCCACATGCTTCAGGTGTAAGTGGAATTTACTTTTTTGCAGCTCTGACTCACTTGCAATCTCTTCTTTTCCCTTCCTTCTTCTATACGTGCTGCATGCTGCATGACACTCAGAGTGAGGATGAAGAAACGGATTACGATATGAATGACTCAGATTAAGTGTAAATGTCATGGTGAGCACTAGCTGCCCTAGGATTTTAACCAGATTCTTTTCTGCCCCATCCAATTCCCACCCCCACTAGTGCTGTCCTTCAGCTAGTCCTGGTGGTGTGTGTGTGTGTGTGTGTTTGTGATTATAGTTGTGGCATGGTTGGCAAAGGTAGAATTTGTGTTCTGGATATTGCTTCTTTGACAGAATAATTAGTGTTGCTTTTATAAACTGTACTGTGAGTAGTACCTTAAAGCTTTGATGAGAAAGAAAGTTCTTAATGTAGATTCTAGGGCCAGAATTGCTTTTTATTCATTCATTTCTTTCTCATTTTATGTGCACCACCTTTTCTGTCAGATAGGTTTTTTACATGTAGAGGCGTGTGATACAAACTTACTGTATACATTTTCAGTAAATGTCTGATTTGGCAATAATTTAACAAACTTGATTGAAGTGCAGCATAGTCCAAAGGTGGTCTTAACTGATAATTTTGAAATAAGGATTTTCTTAGTAAAGATGCGGCAAATATAAGTAAATAGTGTGATCTTGGTGCTGCAGTGGTATTTATCACAGGAAACAACTCTGGGGAGGGATCCTTTCCGCTGTAGTTTGACATCTTATTGAAGATCAAGTTACATTAAAAGTCACAAGTGGAAGAGCACAAAAAAAGCTGCATCTGAAAAAACAACTTAGGCACTTTTCCTAATGTGTCTTTAAGTACTATTCATATTTATTCCACTCTCTAGTTTCTAGAAGATAACATACATTGAATTTTCAATGGTATGATGTGGGTGGTCACTTGAGCCTGTATAAATTGAAGATATTTACCATCGCATGAGATGAAACTTTGGCTTCTCACCTATACACCTGACCTTTTTAGCTGTAAAGCAGCCTTAACACTTATCTCTGAAGTTTGGACGATGCTGTCAGATGGCGTGATTTTTGAGGTTGACTTGTGCAAGGCCAGGATCATCACTTAATGTTTCTTGTGGGTCCCTTCCAGCTCAGGATATGCTGTGATTCTATGAAGTCACTGCACATGGCTGAAAAAGAACCTATATTATTTTCTGAAATGATGCATACAGAAGCTACTGCTTTTGCCAGCTCTTCAGGAATGGCTGAAAGGAATCAATCGAATCTAAAGCTTTATTGAAACAAAGTAAACTGGCACTTTGCTGGAATTGAATGTAATATTCTTAAGCTGCCTGAGAGGCAAGCAGTCCTTAAAACACATTTCTAGCAGCAGCAGCCTTATTTTGAGTGGGAAGAAATAGTTTTCTTGTTCTTTTGCCTAAGAAACAATCACACTCAGGCCCCTAGAATATGAAAGTTCATTCAGCATTGTTTAGAATTTTTAAGTCACCTTTGGATCTGGTGCACCAATATGGAAAATAAAACAGAAATATGAAAATAAGGAAAATTCTCTATACAGCAGATCTGTACTAGAGTTGGTACAATCCCCAGTATCAGTACAGATTGGGTGATAGATGGATTTACTGCAGCATTGCAGAAAACTTGGGCATACTGGTGGGTGAAAACCTGAATTTGAGCCAGCAATACTTGAAGACTAGAAAGCCAGTTATCCAGGACTGCAGCAAAAGATGCATGTCCAGCAGGTCAAGGGAAGTGATTCTCCCCCTCAACTCTATTCTCATTAAATCCCCCCTGGAATGCTGCATTCAGCTCTGGGTTTCCCAGTACAAGACCTGTGAGAGTGGGTCCAGAGGAGAGACACAAAAATGGCCTGCAGGCTAGAACACCTCTCCTGTGAAGACAGGCTGAGACAGTTGGGATTGTTAGGCCAGGAGAAGACAGCCCTAGGGCCGACTGCATTTCCAATGCTTAAAAAGCCTTATGAGAAAGATGAGAAAGGACTTTTTTACCAGGGCTCATGGTGACAGGACAAGGGGTGAGGTTTTTAAACTGAAAGAGGCTAGCTTTAGATTGGATATAATGATGAGCATATTCTTTACCGTTAAGGTGGTGAGACACCTGGCACAGGTTGTCCAGAGAAGCTGTGGTTATTCCATCACTGGAAGTGTCCAAGGCCATATTGGACAGGGCTTGGAGCAGCCTGGGACAGTGGAAGGTGTCCATGGCAGGGGTTTGAATGAGATGATCTTTAGGATCCCTTCCAACCAAACCCACTCTTTTGAGTCTATGATTTCCCTTTCAGTAGAGGTGAAGGTTACAGAAGAAGCATCAAGAAAAGTGTGTTAAAATATTGCCTGATGTAATAGAATTTTCTGCTTTATGTTAGGATTACTGGTTCAGTAAAGTGCACAAAGTTCAGCGTCCAGATCTGGCTCAGCTTTATCTTACTGCATGTGTTCCTGATGCTACATAAAATAGTTCTAAGGCTATTAATCTTGCAAGTACTTTCCCAGGAATGAATAAACTCAAATACTTCATATTAAATCGGAAATATTAACAAAATTAATGGATCCAGTATTATTTTCTAGTTGCACAGGTATTTATTTCAGCCATGTTTTTGTCTCTGATGGATATGGTTTCACTTACTGACTCCATTTACTGCATCAGACTGTTATCCTCTGTTGTGGACGTCTACTCCAGCACTTTGTTCTCTGGTCTGACCGACAGCAAATACTTGGGGAAGGAGTTTAAGTATGAAGCATTTATGATATCTGCTCCTGATATATTTCCCCACCTTACAGTAAAACTCAGTCTGTGAATTTTTTTCTTCAAGCCTTCATCTAGGTCATTTTATGGAAGCTACAATGACACTGTAATACCATGACTTGGTATCAGTGGCACTATCTTCTGTAAGTTTATCTAGGCCCTTTGGCATGTATTACACAAGCAGTTGCTGAGTAATTTACAGAGCCTGGTTGTTCCCCACAGAATTCACTTATCTCTTTCCTACAGTTTCATATGGATGCTTTTTACTTAGTACACGTAGTCATGTGTAACATTCATGAATTACCTTCATGAAATAAGAGGGTTTTGCTTCTAAAATGTACCTTAAAGTGTGATATGACCAGTGGAAAACGTCTATTTGTATTTTGGAAATTTTTCAAAATAGTTGCGCTGACATCTGGCTTTATAACTTCAAAACAATAATGCTGAATTTGAAATGAAAAAGAACTTTGTATGCACAAAGCTAGATCCAGGTGTAGGAGGGAGTACAGTGAGCAAGTGATAAAGTAGATTTTTAATTTTTTGAGCTAACACCACACTGCCTCTGAACTGTCCCTGAGCTACACAAATGGTAATGGGTGTTTCATGAACTCCAGCCTTTAAGAAATCCCATGGAGTTGGGCAAAGCAGGTGAGACCTTGCTTGTCTTCAGTCACTATTGTTTAAATGGCCATTTAAACAATATTAAAAGGAAACCAGATATCTCAGATTTTAAAATTTAAAACCATACTTGAAACTGTTGTGTGAATCAGCTGCCAGCCTTTACCCTAAAAGCACAGAGATTGAAGTGTTTATGTGTGCTGGCAGATTCTGTGGGCTGGAATCTGCTACTGAGTGTTTGTTGTAACATCAGGCTACACAAAGATCATAATAGAAGGAAAATCCATCTTGAGAGAAGCTCTGCCATTGTCCGGGGATCGTGCCTTTGCTTTCTTTCAGCTTTTGAAATAAAGAGCCCTTCCCTATGCTAAGAAAATTACCAAGAACCAAAAGAAAATGAAGTATCATAGGACTTTTACTTACAGATTAACATTCTTAAGTACTTATGCTCAGTACGTTTGAAGCTTTGCTTAATGCATTGTTTGCCTTTTGTCATGATTGGTTCTACAGCCTACTGACACAGTTCTAGAGTACTGTTCCGCCCAACAGTTCACCTCAGTATTGCTGGTTGTAATTCAGTTTAGAGCAGCAACATTAAAATATAGTTGCTTGAACAGTCAGTCCTAAGACTTGGATCCTTTCCTCTCTGGAGGAGACAAAATAAACTGAAACAGAAAAGGACAAAAAATAGTAAAACTGGAAGTAAAATGGACGTTGTTGATTTAAATCTTGCTAGGTTGTACTTGGCCTTTAAAAACGTCTTGCATCAGTGCACCCAGTGTGACATTTCTGCACATTTTGATTTGCTAGTTCATGTTTTCAGTACTAATTTATGGAACACAGTTAGCATCTGAAACTTCAGAAGGTTAAGGACGTTTTTCTGGAACAGGAAAAATTAAGATTAAATTCAGTTCCTAGTAAAGTACACAGGTTAATTTACACATAGGACCTCAGGATCTTCTGAACTAAGTTGAGGCACAATGGCTTATTTTTTGCAATTGCCAGCTCTTAAGTCTTATTAATGTATTAATGATTTATTTAATAATACTCAATTCCTAGCAGTGTTTTACACCTGTTTTAATGGTATTTGATAGTAGACATTGTACATATCAATCTGTCTTTTTTCAGCTTTAAAGCACAGATCCCAGGAATTTCCTCAAACCAGGTCCCTGACACATTACCAGTTATTTTTAAAGTAGTCATTATGTTGCTCTTTGATCTCCATGCTTTAGGAATGACATTGAGCTAATCTTCATTTATAGAATTTTTATTGGTCTATTTCAGATTTTGCAAGAACGAGGTTCCAGGATGTGAAGACAGTATTGAACGGTGACAATTTTTTTCTTTATTCGAAGATGCAGTGAATTGTCACACTGAAGAGGCTTGGCTGCAAAAGAAAAAAATCTGATTTAGACAATTTTCTGTTGATCTGGGTTCAACCATATTTGCCTATAAGCTGGTGTCAACTTCTGGAAGCATTGCAAGATTACATAATGGGAATAGATGGTGTGGGAATGTGTGTTAAGTCTTGGTTGTAGTGCATGGTTGTGCTTTCTTGTTGGCTTATTGACACTGGTCATTTGAAAAGAAATGACCATGCACTCATATTTTCCTTGGAGACATGTAGCACTTAATGCCTGGTGCTGGATGACCCAATGTTGATCAGTTTGGAGACCTTTTCCTACTAATCATTGTAAACCTTAAAAGGACAATGTAATTGGTGCTACACACACATACACTTAGACACACATGCACACACACACACACACACACACACACAAATGTTACAGCCCAGAAACGCAAGTATTTGGGCATATGTTGTTTCAGAATCAGTGTCAGCCCCAGTTGACTGTATTATACTGCACATTCCTTATGGTTCTGTGACATAATCTATTATGTAATAACAGCCTAGAAGATCAACTGAAACTAGCATGTGTAAAAGTTACACAACAGAGAAAAGGTTTCTCTGAAGGGTGTATATATTGACTGGATGTATAGCTTATTTCAATACCCAAAGGGAAGACTAAATTCAGAGAAAATGGCCTTCCTCTGAGTTATTCTTGATGTTCTCTCTGTTAAACAGTCTCCTGCAAAAGTTACGCTCCAGTCCTGGTCACATGCTTGAAAGTGGAATCAAAATTCAGTTAAAATGACCAACTGAACATTCTGTTTCTTTGGAGGTGTTTGTACTCATATGTGTGTTTCTGCTTCTATAAAATGCCTATAAGCATTGAACTGTGGATTAGGGTAGAGATTTTTCTAGAGCTGAAGGTTTTACAGAAATACAGCTGGCTAGTCCTAGGTCCCTATCTCTCTATGACTTGGCTTAAAATCAACCTTAGTGTGAACATAAACTCCATCCAGTTGAAAAACCTGATTACTTTGGATATTCAGGATCCCTGTGATCAGCCTTTCTCTTTCTATACAGTTTCAGCTATGCAGTTAAGAACAGTGTTTGAACAGAATGTGGTGCAGCTTTGTTAGTTTGTCCTTGATAAAGGCTAATACACAAGACACACACTATGTTTTGAGCAAAATCTTTAGCACATCTTTAAAACACTTTACAAAATGGACAGTATAAAACTTGGCTTCATTGACTCATGGAACCAGTGGAAGGGAGTTTCAAAAAGCTACAAGATGGTTTTAAATTCTAAAGACATCACAGTTTTCATTCTTAGTAATTTCAGAATTTATGCATATACTGTATACTGATTTTCAAACACCCAGGGTCTACTTTATTTTTAATTATTATTTTATTTTTTAAAGGACTTCGACATTGATAAAAGTTTGGCAAAACAATTTGTAAGAAACATTTCTACTAAACAGATTAAGCAATGGGCTAAATGTTTTGTCCGTGTGCCTAATGCTTGAAAGGATTTGTAATGCATTTTGTGACTTGGATGTGGTCTGCACGGGAAGCTGCTGGCCTCTCCACAACACATACAATTTTTGTCTTTTTTTAAGAAGTTAAAACTGAATTTAATTTACTAAAACTGTAATTGTGTAGGGGGGAAATGTTTATACTTTTATACTTTTTTAGGTACCCATATTTTATCAGCTTAAATTGAGCACAGAGATGTCCCCTAAATAGTGACGGATTATCTTGTGTATCTGAAAATAAGCATAACAATTGTCTGTGTTAACTGCATATTAAAACATTTCCTCTGCTGCAGTAGTCACTGTGTTTTTAAGCAGTATGACTCCACCAAGATCTCTGAGCTCCCCGGCTCATTGCAGCCAATTGCAGCCAACCATGTTACTAGTTGTTTTCTTGATGTGCTCTACAGAGTAATTCAGCATTGATCTAAGTGGATTTTAATACCTAAAATACCAGTTTTACACTGATCCTTCTGAATCAGCATTTCTGTTGCCTCTCTTATTAAATCCAAAAAGGACAGACTATTTAATAAAGTGAAATTTTCCTGAATGACATCGGCAAAGCATGAGTAACAAACTGAGCAAACCGAACAAATTTTGAGTATGTAAAAGAGTGGTTTTTTCTAAGTATGGGGGTTTTTCCCCAACAGAATATTTTCAGTTTTAAAACCTGCTTCTATGCTGAGATTACCTGCAGTTTAGTTTATATTGTATCCCTGCCATAGCTAATTTTAGGGAAATGAGTGTTTAATAATTTTTTGCACTTTGTTTCCAATATCTCACAAAGATTTTAGGAAGGAAAGAAAAGAAAGAACTTTAGTTGGCAGGTACCTTGTAAATTATTTTAAATACACTGTCGTTTGAGGCCACCTGAACTAACTACTTTCCTGTTCTTGCTATTGTCATTATTGCTTTAATTTTTGTGATCATGCAGGACTTTCAGATAGATGAAAACGCTCTCTTCAGCTTTTTTCAAGGCATTAAGAATTTATCCCTAAATAAATTTTGTTTCTTTTTGTTTGACTGTTGCAGTTTCAAATAGAGTAATGCAAGGTAATTGCATTAGAGTCCAATCTCCATGACCAGGCTTGGCAAACATTGCTTCATCTGTTAAGCTCTTGCAAGGAGGAAGCAATGTACCTATACAGTTAAAACTGGATTCCTTTGTTCTTTTTCTGCTGTTTAGAGAGTACCTACCTGAGAATTGCCTGTGACTCTGCAGAGCTGAGGGGTTCACTATCAGGCTGGAACTGCAAAGCTGTACTGCAGACTGCTTGAACTTAACTGTGGACATACACAGCTCCTCTGTTGTTTAATCAGAACAGTATTCCAGGTTAGAACTTCAGATCCTGCGCTTGAACAGATCATAGCAGAAGGAATAAAACAGGAAAGGAGAGAGATGGAATTCCTTAAAGACATTTACATGACAAACTTCTTGCAAAACTTGTTTAAAAACAGAAGTTCAAATTTGCTGTAGCAATTTCTTACTTTGAGTTAGGAGACAGCATATTATTTGCCTTAGGTTTTCTCAGAAGCTATTTTTTCCTTTATTGGAGATGGTATTTTTATGTTACATGCTTTTTACTTCTTCAAGCAGCAGGTGAATCAGAATTTGTCTGCAATGAACAAGTAATTCTGAGGCCTCAAAGACATGGATGTCACATGGTCCATAATAACTATCCAAATGTATACTCTGAATCAGCAGCTCCCAGCCCAAAGGTTACCTGGGATTTTGTCCTATTTACTGTGGGATTTCCATGGATTACCGTTAATTGCATGTTTTTAATCCCAAAGTAATTTAATTGTGTGTCAAAGATTTGATTGAATTTAGAAGCTTTTTTTGAATCTTTACTAAAGTTTCCATCAATACAATGGTATACTCATAAAAGTTGAAAAATGTGCTGTTTTTTTCAAACTCAGATTTCTTGTATTGATAAAAGTTCCTTTCATCCTTCATTGTAGCATTAGGAGAAGATATTTCTTAAAAAATGAAGCTCAGTGAATCCATCTGACTTTTTTGGTTTGAGATTTTCTTTAGACACTAGCTGTGTAGCTCCATTTCTAGCAATGTGAATGCACAGTTATGATTGATTAGAAACAAGACTATTTCCTGCAGATTCAAAAATGGAATCAATCTCCTCTTTTTCTGAGAGAGGGGTATTTTTGGGGTTTTTTTCAGGAGAAAAATGAAAACTGGCAGATTACAATAGTTGCAGGCATGCAACTAAGGGAACAAGTCTGCTGAGTATGGTGTTAACACTATCAGAAAAGTGCTTCTCATAACAGAACGCTATTCTGTGAATGTCTGTTGAAGTTGTTGAGAGTTGTCAGTCTCTGTTTAAGCTGTAGAGAGCTCCCACCAGCAAATTAACACACATTAGTTACAAATTTTATTAATATTACAAAAATGAACTTGGAGTGCAAAAATGCAATAGTATCTGGTTCAGTGGAATTAAATAGAATCCAGATAATAATTACCCAGGTATACTGGAATGTATTCCTTGGGAAATACTGGGAGAAGAGTAAACTTCTTCTGGGCTTTTTGAGGAAGATGGAAGTCAAATGAAAGCCTGAAGTCTGGGGTTTTGTTCCCTTAAGATGTGATAAAATCAGAAAGTGCCATTCTCCTATTTTTTATTCTCTCTCACCTCATCAAAAGTTTCAAGTTCTTCAAATTAACTTTTTCAATCAGCCCTTGAGCTGTAGGTCTTTGAAAAGAGATGAAATTTTGTTATTCCTTTAACAGTGTCTGTTATCTTAAGAGAGTAAGGTTAAAACTTGAGTTGCCATTGGAGAAGTGTCTTTTCTAATACAACAGTTTTGAAATACTTAAGCCTAAGGATGATGCCTGTTACTTTGTTGTAATTTAGACTGCAGCTGTCTCCAGTTTTGAGGACAATCTTGGGATCTTACATGGGGCTTTGTGTAGAAATAGTGATTGTTTAAATAGTATGAATATTCAGTTTAAAAAAAACCCCGAAAGGCTCTCTGAACTCAGTCATGCAAGTTTTCCTTTGTTTCACAAAAATCAGGAGCTGTCTTTAAAGGCCTCTTAATGCACAGAGGCTTTAAAGGGCTAAATAGATCTTGTCCAGTTTGCCTAAATGACTTTCAGAAGGAGCTCTCCATTTTCAGAGCAGAAATGCTAAGGGCTAAAATGCTTTCCAGGGCTAGTTTGAGGTTCCAGAGACATACAATATCTAAAAAACAACTAGTCTGTTTTCCTTTCAACTCATGGACTCTGAAATAATTTTTACAGATGTCTGAACCAATTGCAGATCTAAGTGTTCCTATATGGCTTGGATTTTCAGTATCCAGATTGGATAAGGGCACACTAGAGAAGGCAGTACACCTACCCTCCACTTCATTATTACCTTGGCTGAAATCTATCGACTTTTATGAACAGCACTGGCAATAGAGAAGCTTTGAGGAAGGTTCTGCCCCAGGAAATTGTCACAGAATATTTCTTTGCAACTTAGTTGACCTTTACTTTAGTGATGTCTACCAAGGCATAAACTTCTCAAAAGTTCAGTGAGTAGATACTGCTGCCAATATAGCTTTCTAGAGGCATCAGATGGTTCTCTTCAGGATGTTGTGTCTTAGTAAGTACTATAATGAGAGAAACTTTTTTTAAAGGTATTTTGCTACTTTGGGGGTGAGTGGAAGGGGAAGAGGTTCTGTGACAGTGCTCTCCTTGCCTTAGAAAGCTGAGCCTGAATTTTGATGTAAGACCTGTTGTGATTTTGAGGCCTCATAATCTGAAATGTGTGAAGAGTAAGAGTAAATGTATTTATTATGTACATGATTCTTGCTACTCTTGAAGATTTTCCAAAAGCTTATGCACAACTTTACTCACATTAACTTGGCTCATGTGTACTTGCTAGAATGAAGAAAGTGCCAAGGTGCTTGTAAAAGGAATGTTACCAACCTCTCTACTGGAACTGAAACAAGATCATCAAACAGAAGGAGTATCAAATGGCAGCTTTTTCCACCTGCTTCTGCCCTTATCCTTACCTCAACTTAGCTATGAGAAATCAACTTCCTATGCACTCTTTAGGATCACCTACCCAATTCAACAAATGTTCTTTTTTTTTAAGCTTTTCCTCCAAATCACTGGTCTCAGAATTAGTTGGGCATCACCTGTTTGTGCTTATACCCAAGTGGCCATACTGGCAACGTGTTATTTCCTGGATAGTGGATTAGCAATAACACTTTATTTTGTGCCAGTTCACTATATCTGAAGTGTTCTTACTGCAGCAAAATTTGAGTTATGATTTGGTTTTAATGCATTTGCATTAACCAAAACTCATAGCACAGACACAGACAAGAAACTGAATTCAGGGAAATTTCCCTGGAAAAATATCTGCTAGGGCTTCCCAAATAATTTGAAGATGGTTACAGTTAACCATCACTTTCAAAACAAATGAAATGTGTATGGGTATTTTTTTAACTTCCTTTTCATAACACTAGTGTATTGTAAACTGCATGGAATAAACCTGGTTTTTCCCTTTTAAAGTGTGATGTCTTACATCTGTCTTTTCTAAATGCACTAGTTGATATTAATAGTGTCATATCCTGTGAGAATTCCTAGTTTAGCACTTCAGATGTAAAATGTAGTTACATATTTGTGTAGTGATTCAAAGCATTAATGCTTTCTCCTTTGTAAAGGAGAAGTGTCCTTTACTGCTGCCCCAAAAAGCTTTGTCATGAAAAAGTTAAGTCTATTCAGATATATATCAGTTGGGAAATTATTTTCCTTTGCAGTTGCTGTGACATGCTGATTATTGTAGGAGGAAGTAGTTGTCTCTTTTATGGATATATAATCACATGAAAAAGTTTCAAGTAATCACTTTGCTTACCTTTTCTTTTGTACAACTCAAAAACCACCCTGCCTAACATCAAAGATCCTAGAATCCACTACTTTGCTTTTTAATATAATTGCTTCCTTTGGTTGAAAAACTAAGCTAATGGAAATTGATGCTTTGTAATAAGGCAAACATATAAGTTGCAAAGATAGAAATGGCTGAAGGAAGTAAATTATTTAACTACAAAGTACAGGTTGTTGAAATTATCCAGGAAATTTGACAGCTGTGTCCTCTGTAACTATAGAAAAGTTTATAATTGAATATTAGTATTGAGAAGACCACTGGGCAGCTCTTATTTGCTGAACTGCTCATAAGAATTTGAGAAGCTAGGACCCATGATTTTTAAATTCCTAAAGGCTCTGTAGTTACAAATGAAGTGAATTTCATCTTAACAGTTTAGTCGGTTTTAAGTGCAAAGCACATTCTATATTTCCTTGTATATCCAGCAACATCAGTAAAATTGTTATTTTACTAAACCAATTTGCTGCATTTAATTGCACTTAAATTTTTCTAAAATAAGTGCTAAGAACAAACACTGCTGTAGTAATCAAGTACAGAAATTACAGTAATTAAGTAATCAGTGTGTGCATCTGTATTTTCATCAGACTGTCCTACTAAAAGTATTGATATTTTAGAGTCAGCCAGCATGACTTTCAACCCAAATTCCTATTCTACATATGTTGTTGCAAATGTTTTCACCATTTAGGAAAAATGAGAGCACAAAAGGGACAAGTGTCTACCCTGAACTAGAAACCAGGTTATAAAGGGGACACAAATGACCAAGTCATTAGCAGCCTGTTTGGATATTTTATAACATCTAGGGTTCATTTGGCACTAGTTTTCCTTTCAGTGGGAAGTTTAACTTCAGAAAGATGAAAATGATCCTGCAAATTCTCCTTTTAGGGTGCTGTTCATCTTTCCGTGTGCTGAAATCTTGCCTGATAGTCATATACACATGGCCCATATATATATGACATTCTCAGAGACTGTAATGTGTACAATTTCATGAGAGAGATCCTGTAAGGCAGCTGTTAACAGCTTCCACTGCTTTTCGTAATGCCACTGGACTTGTATGGAAAGTTACACAGGGGAGTATGTGTTTATCCTCGTCTACAGTGGGCATTTGCTACTGGTGAAAGGTTTCTTAGGTAGAGTGATATTCAGCATGTATTTTGATTAGGGCTGATTGGAATCTAGGTGATTATTTATTGAAATAGTCAATTCTGGAGTTCTGAAGAAATAATTTTGAACTTTATTACTACACAGAACATTGTTCAAGTAACATTGACACAGACTAGCACAAGGCATAGCTAGGCAGCGGTTTCAGGACTAAAAATTCCTCAGTTTCATTAAGAAAGAGAAGTTCAAGATGAGAATAGAATGTGATTCGTACTCGCCACTAAAAATGCGTCGTGTCCGTCCCCCCCCCCCACCCCCAAGGAAAGGAAAGGAAAGGAGACCAAACCAAACCAAACCAACAAAGCAATGGGAAACAAAACCCAGGTCATAAATCCCGTAAAGGTCAGTGAAACTAGCGCGGGATGGAGGCGAACTGAAGACCGCCTTCCGTGCCGCCTGCCGGCTCTCTGATAGGCCCCTCCACAGCAGCGGGAGCCCCTCAGAGCCGCGGCCCCTCCTCCAATCAGGCTCGGCCGGCACAGGGGGCGGGGCTCGGCCCGGCTCGAGTGCGGCCCGCCAGACCTGCGCGCGCCCGTCGACGGACCAGGCGTTCTTAAGTCGCAGGCGGCTCCCACGGCGCCAGAGGTAAAAATTGATTCAGCTTTCCGCCGGAGCTGGCGGGAGCGAGAGGCACGAGGAAGTTCTCGGCTTTGGGGTAGCCCCGCGTGGAGTTTTTCTGGTGCTTCATACTCAGGCATTGTTGGGGGCACCTCTGGGTCCTGTCTCGCGGGGATGCGTAACGCGTGACGATAGGATCACAGACGGATCGGGCCGAGGGACAGAATATTGCTTTCGCGCTCCGCGCCGAGGCGAGAGGGAGGGAAACTCCGGAGTGGAGACAAAGCAGCGGGAGCGGGAACATCCGGGTCACTCGCGCGGCCTCGATCCGGGACACGCGCGGCGGCGGCGGCTCTCGGTGAGGCCTGGCCGGGAGTGGGGCCGGGGTGGCCCCGGGGTCGGGGAGCGGAGCGGGGCTGGGCCGGGCCGGGCCGGGCTGGCGCCCCTCACCTGCGACGGGGCGGGACGGGACTGGCGGCCACGGGCGTGCGGGCCTGGTGGCTCCTGCCTTGTGGCTGGGCCGCCGGCGCAGCACTGTCCGCCTGAGGCTCTGAGCACCCCGCAGGTCTCGGTGGTGGCGGGCGGAGGTCGCCGAGCAGGGCGTGGAACCGCTTGGCCTGCGCGAGCCGGTCCCGCCCCGCCGAGTATATGCCCGGGAACGTCGGGCGGGCCCGCGGTGCCCCGTGCAGGCCTTGGGCGCTGCCCCGGCCCCTCGCGGGGCTGACGGGACCAGCGGCCCTCCGCGGTGGCGGGCGGTGCTCGGCCCTGTCCGGTTACTTGGCCGTCGAACACGGAGTCCATCGCCGTGCGGCATCTTCTGTTGTTTTACGTGCGACTCCGGTCGACGCTCGGCCTCTTATACCTTTCTTTTGCCGCAAGCAGAGGAGACTTTCTATCCTAGTCCAGAGTTAGTGTGCTTTGATTAAAGCTCAGACCGTGGCTTTCTCCACCCTTCTGAAAAATAAAGTTCGTATAGTTCAGGGCGAACTACTTCGATAATAATGTCTTTCTATGTTAGTATTTAACCTGCAAAGTAAAAATGTGAGGCTAGCAATCTTAACGTTTTGGGGTCTTTTTTCTTGCTGCTTGGAACCAATAAGTCGTACTGAAATTCTTGAACCTCAAAGAGCATATCGCTGATGTGTTTAGAGAGTTGTTTGTGGTACGGGATTCTTTGCAAGACGAGCATTTTGTATGTGAAAGTAGGTTGTTCCACCCCATCAGAACGTGTAAATGGGTAAGATATTCTGTAATGAGGCACAAAAGTTTGCGTCTATGATGAGCATAATGGTTTTATTCTGTCCTTTTTCTAATGTAGGCAGTAACAGCAGCAAAGGCAAGCTGCTGAGTAAATTTGGAAGTTTCTGTTAACTTTGAGTTGATGGCAGTAAAAGTGACATTACTACCTCTTAATGGCAGGGGGGAATTTGGGGGATTAAACTCAAAACGTGAAGACTGGTGGCTTCGACTTTTATGGTATGTGCAAAAATAGGATTGAATAGACTTCCTCTGGTGCAGAATTCTTTCTGGTAATGTAGTACATTAATAGATAGGGATATAGAGAATCCATATTGACAGTTTGTTAGCAGATTTTTTTTGAGGGGATGCTTAACTAATGGGATCTTAGTTTGTGAAATGAGATTTCAGTCTTCTTGTTTAATATTTTCTAATAGACTGGTGAGGTTCTAGATGCTTGTCTGTTCTCTTCGATGTAACTGAAGTCTGGAAACCAGATATGTGAAGCCTGTCGTCTCTCATATGCACTGAAATTTTTTCAGAGTTTAACTAAAACAAATGCCTCAAGATTTGGAAACCTATTTGTAGAGCATTAGGAAAATCTTTATTGTATTAGGGCACAGTATAGTGTGTAACAAAAGTAAGTAGGATGCATGGTCTGAAAACTCGGGATTTTTTTTTTCAATTACTTGAAAAGTTACTGATGTTCTGCAGAAGATCCACTGTTTATTTACCCGGTGAGAAACTGGCGTTTCCCTTGAGGTTGCAAATAATTGGTTGTTAGCCACAGGAAATGGAATAAATGTGTAATGCCAACCTTTTGGCAGAAAAGGTAGTTGAGTTTGGTGAACTATGTAAGAATATTTGGATGGTTTATAAGCAAATACGGTTTTCTCAGCCTATGATGGGAAGGTTAGTATTAGTACAGTGGACTACCAGGTACCAAAAGCACAGCTGAAATTCTGCTGTATATGCCGTTCATTTACATCTCTTAAAACATATTAAAACTTGCTCACAACCTACTAAAACTTGCTGCCTGTATAATTTGGTTAAGGAAGAGATTTTTTGTTGCCTTTGGTTTTTGGTGATTTTTTTTTTTTTCAGTTTTGCTGGTATTTTTTTTCAATGGCTCTGCATTTCCTGCTTGTGAACAGATTAAAATCTGAAGTCATGTGTACACATTCACTAAGTCCTGCAAGTCTTCTGCCATAATTAAGATAGAGGTGTAGGTGTTGGGAATACTAGAGGAAAACTGGACTGAATGTATGACTATTTTTTGTGTGTGCATGTCCACTGAGTGTGCATTGTCCCTTTCAAAAAGCTTTATCTGACATTAATTCGGTTGCTACTTTGAAAGTGAATTAGGGAATATGGCCGTCTAGGCAAAGCAGGCTTAAAAGGTTGAAGAACAGATTTAAAATACATAGTGTCCTAGGAACTGCATACATTGCTTAGTCTGGTGTTTTTAAAGATCTACAGTTCATATGCTTATAATAGTAGTAGACTGCATTACTTCTTATAAGTAATCAACATATTGAGTGAAATTCTGCATAATTCTTAACCAGCGTATAAGGGGTTGTTTTAATAGAGTTGAAACAGCACTTTCAGTCACTCTGTGAACTTGTTAAGTGGAAGCATTCTACTCTTCGGCTGTCAAAAAGGTTTACAAGGTATATGTGGATTTGAGAACAAATTGGCCTGACTTCTCCCATTGCCAATTATCATCTCTTATTTAAAATGTGTGAAAGTGCAGTTGTAAGAAGGATTAAAAACCTTCATTGGAATTTGAACATGTGGCTAGTGAAACCCTGAGTTTAGATACAGTTTGACAATGAAAAATAAACTCACTTTGAATACTGTTATGGTGAATGGAGTATCGTCCCCTGAATTTGAAAGCACCACTCGTGCAATCATCCTGTTTAGAACTGTTGTTCTGTGTCATGCAGTAGTGAATGACCTGTGCTCTGCATATTTTTTCTGTAGTTGTGGTCACCATGCTTGGCTACTACTAAGGCAGTGAAGGTGCAGAAATATTCTTCAGTTTATACTGGAATTTAAAATCTGTCTTGTGGAATGAGCTGCTGGCTCTTCCTTAGCTGAGCTCTGTGTTGCTGCCTGTTCCTGCTGTTGTCTAGAAATTTTATAGCCGCATCACTGCAAAACTGAGATGACTTTGTTAAATTCTATATCCCTGTGGCTTTTCTGGGGAATACTGACTTTCAGTGGGAATTTACCCAAAAAGTAGTATTTCTTATTCCCATTTGCCAGAAATAGGAGTAATGCAGATAATTGCCTACATAAGAAATTTGCCATGCCTCATGTGGTGTAGGAAGGAGATAAACAGAGTGTCAGTTGCACAAGTAGGAAGTCTGAGCACTTCTTCCATTACTAATAGTGCTTCTGTTGTCAAGCTACTGTCAAAGTTTATTCTAAGATGGGGTTCAAATATAAAGCAGTAAGGTAAGGATGGCATTTTGTAGGTCAAGTCCAGTTACTTAGAACTTGATGGCATGGGGAAACTTGATGATATTCCTGATGATAAATTCTGCTGGTTGTGCAGAAACATGTGTCTAGGTTATTGAAGTGAAAATGAGAGGTCAAAATTACTCTTGAGTGAGCAGGGCTTATAAACATAATGCATTGTTTATGCTATAAGTAAAAGTATATGCTAATAGCAATTACTTTTGTTGTAGAGGGACTCTGAATATGTCTGGCATAGCTCTTAGCAGACTTGCACAGGAGAGAAAAGCCTGGAGAAAAGATCATCCATTTGTAAGTATGAAAGCTACTAAATATCTGACTCTGCAATTGTTTCAGTGTTCTGGTGATGATTTTGTCATTACCCTGATAGGATTAGTAGTGCAAAAAGAAGTAACTTTGTGTAAAGATAAAATATGTCACAAAGTATTTTAAGTACATCTTGTAAAATCCTCACCATATGTCTTATTGCCTTGATTCAGGGATTTGTAGCAGTACCTACAAAAAATCCAGATGGCACGATGAATCTAATGAACTGGGAGTGTGCTATTCCAGGAAAGAAAGGGGTAAGACTTACTGTTCTCCTGATTTCTCATTTATGGTGAAAAGTAATGTAAGTTGCCTATGCATTACATTGACAATTGAGAATTTACCTTATGTATAGTTTAATAATGAAGTTTGTGTCCTGCTGCTACTTTAGAATAAAAAGTGCTGTGGGCTAGGAATATTGGACAAAGTATAGTGTAAGCCTGTTCAACTCTTGGCACTTAGCACCTGAAGAATACAAGTTTTCAGAGGAGTGTTTAAGAATCTTGTACTGAAACTGGAGGTTGTCTTCTGCTTCTTCTTGCTTCTTCTGAAATACTACTATTAATTATTTGGGGATTTTAATTCTTTCTTCCGGGTCTTCAGTGTGGGACTTTTTTGCCTTGCCTTTTCTACTGCCTTTTGCCAATTTGCCTAAATACCCTTGATGATCTTGTTTTGTAGATTCTCAGAAGAGTCTGTGTGTAGGCAAGACCTGCAGGGTCTGTGATGCTGCCCTAGTTGAATGCTGGACATAATATTGCTGTTAGAGTTACAACTTAGTTTTGGTAGTAATGCTCTGGGCTCAGCATTAGTTAGTTCTTAAAAAAGCACAAACAAATATTCTAACACAGTCTAAGGAAAAACTCATCCCCTTACTTCTGCCTGAACAAGATTATTCCTCATAACAGTTTATGTACCTTATGGAGATGTCGCTTTTAAGTACTTAGGTAAAATTTATATGCCGTACAAAATCTTCATGGCATTGCTTTGAAGTTTTGTAAACTGCAAAATGGAGCGAACAAGGCCTTAAAGCTTGCTTCATGTGTACCAGAAAATGTGTCACACCCGGAAAAGATCAGTTAGGCTGATGTGATTCCTGCTAATAAAAAAATTATATTTAACAAGAAGCAGCATGACTTATTCATCTCTATCAGACCAAGCAGTTGCTTTCTATTCCCTTTGTGTTTGGAGGCATCCTATACTGCAGCTGCTTTCCCTGAGATGAGTAGTTGAAAACACCAGAATGCTTTCTTGTCAGCCAGATTAAATATTGAAGTGGCGTTAGTCCCGGATGGGATACTCTGTTCACTTATCTGACAGCAAATCACTTGTTAACTACCTAGAATTTGACTCAAAAAACATCTGCAACTAGTCCCATAATGCAATATGGTCTCGATGATACTGCTGTCATACTGTTAGCCTTAGTAGGGCTTCTGAATGTCTGCTATCTTTCGCCCATAAGGTATGTCGCTGTATCAGAAAAATGATAAAAACTTTGCCAACTGTTCTGTTCTTCTGTGTAAATTATTAAAAGCTGTTTGTCTTCCTGTGTGACTGAAAGCAAACAAAAATTTTATTCATCAAAAAGCTCGTGTTTTCTAAAAAGGAACTCCTCTGAGAAGGTATGGAGAATGGATTTTTCTAGTTGTTGACAACTGGCTGCAGCAATTTAGAATGAGTTCTTTAAATACACTACAGCAAATAGAATAAAATTCATTCACTTCTGGAAGTGTGTTATCTTATTAATTCCTAGCATGTTTTTCTTCCTTTTCTAGCTTGAGACTTTGCGTAATGAATACCAATGACAATGAAGTGATTTCTCTCTTTTCATGTAGGTTTTTTGGATGTTTTGGTTTTCATTCAGCTAAAAATCACATAGTTCAGATAGGAAATAATAAAGAATTTCCTCCTAAGGTGGTCTTCAAGCATGTCTGTCTGTGAGGATAAGATTTGATCAGTTTTGCTTTTAAGATGTGAGACCATCTTTACTCCAGTTGTTTTAAAAAAATCAACCCAACATTTACTTTCATTGCAGTGTTTCCATAGCAAGGGGAAGTTACAGAGAAGTAGCAGAGAAATAAATTTTATAGCTATAAGAACCTTTTCTACATTTCTACACTTATTAGCAGAACTCAGTTTGTCAGAAGATGGGCTTTTTTCTTTATGTGTTTTGTATATTTGAGACAGTCTTTTTCTCTATTGCTAGATGTTTTTTTCTTGTTTGTATGACACTTTTGAATAGTGCGGTCTTATTTGGCTTGCTCTCTGTCATGGAAGCTGCTCCTATAAGTGTCCTTCCCCGTGCTGGGTAGGGATAAAGAGCCTCCTAAAATTTCTTGTAATACAGAAAGATGGAATCTGTGAGACTACATTCTACCAAACGCAGACAGGGTTAGTTTAGACTAGTGAATCTCATTAACTGTAGCAGTAATACAGTTCTGTCCACATTTTTAGTTCATTTATGGTTTTATTAACCACATTCTCATAAGGCATGAGAGAAGCCATTTACATTCCCATGCTTAAGGGATGTGTCCTTCTCCTATCTTCTCAGACTTTAGTGAGGGTACAACAGCCCCTTCCTCGTTGTACATGTATAGTGTAAAACTTCAGCAGTATCCTGTTCTTACGTAGTGTGAAAATTTTACTTTTATATGGAATTACTGGTGGTGACCCTGACTGTGTTGATGAGTTGGCATCACTTAGTAGCTGAAGAAAGAAACCCCTTCCTTTCCACTTCAGCTTCTTCTACAGGTAGAATAGCTTACCATAGTCTAGACAGTGTGCTTACAGTGCAGGACAGCTATTTTCTGCCATTTAGCAGAAGAATGTCTTGTGCTTTGCCTGAGAAGCTGTATTCATGGTAAGCTTTTTTCCACAATTTTGACTTTTCCTTTCTGTAACCAAAATTCTACATTAACTCTTGGTAGACACCATGGGAAGGAGGCTTATTTAAACTACGGATGCTTTTCAAGGATGACTACCCTTCTTCACCCCCAAAATGTAAGTAAAATTACCACAGGTAATTAAAAATCACAGGTTTATTAGAACAGTGTTGAATTAATCCATGAGGTTCTTACAAATGGTTATTACTTTCCTGCAGTTTTGTTTGATTTTGGTTTGGGTTTTTTTTTTTAAAGATACATTGCCTTTTCTTTTTCCCCACCCACCTGCATTTCATCACAGAAAGTTGTGATGAAATCAGCTAAGTGCTTGATATATCTGAATTGGGAGGGGAGGGAGATTGGTTCCCTCAAAGTGTGGCGAAAGCATCACTTGAAATGCTCACTACATTATCAGCTGTCCTTAGAAACTAATATGTAGGCAAGCTTAGACTAAATCCCTATGTTCTTACTGTTAAGTTGGTCTTCTAAGCTGAGAACTCAGAAGACAGGAACTTGGAAAAAAGGACCTCTATAACTTGAACCTTTTAATCAACTTGCTCTAAAATATGAATCTGTTCTTTTTCTGCTACCATGTATAACTTAGATCTTCAGATACCTAGTCTCCTTAAGTTTTTGAACTGAATTTTCCTTATATCATCTCAAACTTCACCTATTATAGAAACCTGAAAACATCTATTCCATTGCATGGTTTCTTGGTTCTTGAATTGGCTACCTAGTCTTGTAATTTAAACTTGGTTCCTTTTGTTCAGTGCATCTTGATTTCATATAGGAAAATATGAAACTGAAAAAAATGCTAAGAACTTAAGTCTTCTTCGTATGAAACTTTCATTATTTTAAAGTGAGGAGAGAAAAAATGAGTGAAGGGTAGTATCTTTCCGTTATGTAGTAGTATGTAAAGCTGAAAAGACAGAATTGTTTTTAAAAGGGTTTAAAGACCTTTTAAAAGGTCTTTATCACAAAGCTACTTTGAATTACTTTGTATGTTTCCATTCCTAAACCAAAAGATTACCAGTCAAAAAGACAATGTTGGATTGCCTGGATTGATATCACAGATGTGATGGAGTTTCTGTTTTAGGTGCGGGCTGAGCCAAGAAGAAAACTGGTATTAATAGCTCCAGAAATTGGTGGGGTTTTATTTGTGACTCTTTTGCCAGTGTTGGTTTGGGGATTTTTGGGTTTTGTTTTCCCCCAGCTGATCTAACCCAACTCTCTGATCTTCCTCTTAGCACTGTATGCAAGTAATTTCCTCTTCTTTATCAGGTAAATTTGAACCACCGTTATTCCACCCAAACGTGTATCCTTCAGGCACCGTGTGTCTCTCCATCTTAGAGGAGGATAAGGACTGGCGGCCAGCAATCACAATTAAACAGGTCATTAGTTGTACTTGGACGTATTCTTAATACTTCTGCTTTGCTTGCTTATCTGATGCAAGTATAAGATGTTCACTGTGTGTACCTAAATTGGTTTCTAAGGGTTTTTCACTGAATCTCTATTAGTAATACCCATAATATATGCCTGTTACTTCTATTCCTTTTTCCATAGATCTTGTTAGGCATACAAGAACTTCTAAATGAACCAAATATTCAAGACCCAGCTCAAGCAGAGGCTTACACAATTTACTGGTAAGTGTCTTTGCATATGAGCCTGAAAGTTGTCATGTTGCTTACAGGTGTCTGTTACTTGTAGTATAACATGCAAATGTTTTTACAAATGACATGGGGAATTTTCTTACCTTCATTACTGTATTCTGTGGAGATGTCTAGATTGTGCTAAACTTGAACAAAATGGTAGCTGCATGGCTGTTAGGCTAGTGGAGCTTTTAATAGCAAAGCAGCAGCAATAAGATGCGAAGGCTCCTTATATCAAGATTTTCATCCTGGTTCTAGACTAACACAGAGTCCGTTCCCTTAAAGGCCAAATAGTAACAATGTGGTGTAATGGTATCACGAGACCAGGAGGAGAGGAGACTGAATTAGGTGACAATTCACGTTTGTCAGTACAGGAGTAACTTACTTCTGCCCAGTGGTGCATACCTGTAAGAACTTGTGCCTGAAGGACAAAGGAGAACTGTGGTCACTGTAGGAAACATGGCATCTTGGGAAAACTACATTTTCCAGAACAGTAGGTTGAAAAGTACAGAATGCCTGTAGCTTTAGCAGAATGAAGTTTGCATTGATTAGGAAAGGAGATAATTTGTGAGCTAAAGAGACTTTTTGGGTTTCTTTGTTAGTTTGTTAGGGTTTTTTTTAGGCTTAGTCTTAAAAGTTTTTCCACCATTAAAAGTGAATATCTGTTCTATAATCTTTAGGGAAGCAAAACATTTAAAACAAATGCTTTTGGCACTGGTAGCTACTGAAATAATAACCAAGGTGGAATTGTGGAATTACAATTCTGGACAGAAGAGGCCTCCAGGAGAGTGCCAAGTTTGAAAAATAACATTTTATGTGACTGTACTTGCAAGCTATGTTAAATATGGGTTTTTTTACGGTCCTAGTGAAAAGGAAACATAGGAATGGATAGTGGGTTTTGCATTTAATTAATGGCTTCACTCAGTGTTATTTTTTTAAAGTGCTTACTGAAGGCTTGATGGAGTGCATATGGAAGACAGTTGCAGGAGCCAGGAATGATGAAGAAGGCCTCAATAATATACTTCTATACATGTATAGATAGTCTGTGTTTTATTCTTTTTAATCACCTCCCACGTGCATGTATATACAAAACCAGTCTTGGCTAGTCTTGTTTCTGTTTAAAGTGCTTCTAGGGGGAAAAAATACCTGTTTAGCTTAAAATATTACAAGATTTTTGTTACTTCAAGTATGTATAGTCTCCCACTTATGCTTTTCATGTCTCTTGGACATGCAGAGTATTTCAGATGGGTTACTATTATTCTCCAGTCTGAGAGTGTCTCTCGCTACTTAGTGAATATCTGGTAGAAGTTAAACAGAGCGGGATTTTGCACACATCTGTAATGTTGGCATAGTTGATAAATACTGCAGTAGATGCACCATTGTACATAGAGGTCTTTTAGTCAAGTTGTTAAAGAATAAACATTCAGAATAAGAATACATATTCTCAGGATTCCTTTGGTACTGTCGTTCAGTAACTTTAGCACTCCTAAGGTGCTAGCCTACTTCCTACTCTTTGCTGTAGGCATTCAGGGTCTCCTATGGAAGGCATTCTTCTGTGTGGATTCTGTGGGTGCCAGACTTAACAGCTAGGCTATGTTCTCATGTGGCAATGCAATATAACTTTGAGGAAAAAATGTTGAATAAATCTCTAAATGTAGAATGTGAATCTCTTCATGAGAAGAGACTGTCTTCAGTCTCTTTGCTAGCAATTGTTCATTGCATGTGACCACAATTGGTTTCATTTCTTCCCCCCAATCTGTCAGGTTCTGAGGATATAATATGCTGCCTTTTTTTCTTTCACTGCAGCAAGCCTTTGTAGCTGAAAGTAAGTTAAATTTACTGCAAAGCTGTTTGCAAAATCTAAGCGCTCTGAACTATCTCTGGCAGAAGAGTAATGGTTACAAATTTTTGTTTAGCTCAACTCACACTTCTGACGGCTAATACAGAATGGACAACTGAATGTAAATGAATGCTTTACTGTGGTACTACTATCCTTCATTGGCACAAGAACAGAAGACAAAGAACTTACCCTTTTACATCTTGAGTCAGAGGCTTAGTGACTGGACATAGTTCCCTCATCAGTAGCAACTGTGCTACACATAGCTGTGTTGAACTAGCTTTTTTTCCCCAAGTGAAGATTAGGATAAACCTAAATCTGTGAGTCAGGGTCTGTAGAGATAAAGGCTGAAATGACCACACCATTGTCATTCTCCTGTTTCTTAGGAGTATTTCCATTCTCTCTCCAAAGCAGTAAAGATGATAATTTAAACCCATATGAAGTCCACCAGCTATTAGTGAATTGCTCTCCTCACTTTGTACTGTTAGGGTATGGAATTTGTTATTAATGACCTCAGGTCTTAATGTGAGCGGGGAGTAGAAAAATTTGGATGAACGAGGGAATGTTTGCACATGAGGTACAGCTGGTCTTGAGAAGAGCAGGTGCAAACCCGTTTGAACAGACTGGTACAGTACAAAGTCAGTGCAATCATTTGACAACAGGTGATGGAAGTAACTAGGTGAACAGTACCATACTTGTCCGGAAAAGTCTTTAATTTATTGTAGCGTTTGCCTTCAGCAATGATTTCTGTTTCTTTTTATTATGAAACTAACGCTGTAATACAGCCTCTGATTTTTCCAGCTATAATTACCCTTTCTCTTTTCAGCCAAAACAGAGTGGAATATGAAAAGAGGGTTCGAGCACAAGCCAAGAAGTTTGCACCATCATAAGCATTTGTCATGCAGCATCTTAAAAAGGAAGGGATTGGTTTGGCAAGAACTTGTTTACAAAACTTTTGCAAAATGTAATGTTGCTATGTACAATTAATATCCACATAAGGGGAGGGGGTTGTATGTGTGCCATTTTCCATATTCGCCAGTTGTATACAGTTCTAAATTTGCTGAATTGCCCCCAGTTTTTTCATACAGGGTCTCTTCCTTCAGTCTTTTGTATTTTTGATTGTTATGTAAAACTTGCTTTTATTTTAATATTGATGTCAGTATTTCAACTGCTGTAAAATTATAAACTTTTATACTTCTATAAATTCACTAGTATCTCTAGTTACTTTGCTATCTGATGCAGGCATGCTTTAAAATGTTAGAACTATATTTAGCCTCTAGCTGGCTGTATGAAAAAAAATCATGCCCTCCACCCCCTTCCCTCCCTGAATTTGTTTTTTCTATCTTTCAGAAACTAGGTTGTTATTGCTTAAGAGCCTCTGAGATCCAAAGTTAGCCAGCATCCTTATTCTGCATCACTTTCTTTGTGTTTATATGGCATTCTGTCTGTGTTGCTGTTTAGAGTAAATAAACTGTTTATATAAAGGGCTTTGTTTCATTTATCTTCATTAAAATTATTAAAAGACGGCCATTTAAACGGCTCTGAACACAATTCAGTGCAAGTTGCTTTCAAGGCCTATGATGCTGCGTTTGCCTTTGGTTTAGATGTTGGCTTCATTTGTTTTGCCAGTCCCTGACCTGGAACAGGTACGTGGCTCGTCCTTGGGCCATGTGTGGTAACAGCAGCAAGTCAATTCTGATCAGTTCCTCAAGCAGAGATTAGTTGCTTACTGTGCATACTGGTGTGACCATGTCAATATAAAAAACGTGAGCTTTGGACTGATATGAACAATAATAGAAGTTGTCCAAGGAATGCTGAGGATTTTCAAATGGTGCTTGTTTATTATTGCTGGAAATAATTTTGTGCCTCTTTCCATATATTAATGCATATAGCTTCTAGGGAAAGGATGTGCACTGTGCAATTAGAGTTTCCTTCTGTAAAGGAAATCTGTTTAAATTATGTATTTTCATGTATGTCAAGCTCATATGCCCTCTATTAAACTTTCCCTGCTTTTTTAATTCTATTTTAAAGTCAAATCATTCTGCAAAACCAAAAAAAGTGAAAAGCTTTGTTCCATCTGAGCTTAGCTTCCTCAGTGGTTCTATTAAAAAAAGGCTACAGCTCAGCACTTAAGTTAATCTAAGTTATACAGCTCTGTTTCCAGATCTGTTTTGCTTGTCTCCATTTGATTACTACAGCTTAATAATATAAAAGCATTCCCCCAAATTAGAATAGCTGACATGCTCACATGGTTCTCAGTCTTTTAAAAGTTATGTTGAAATGCTTTCTTGTCACTAAGAAATCCTTGCTAAAGCAGCACATGTAGGACAGATTTCATATGGGTGGGGAAGTTATTGAAAAAACCAAATCAAAGGGAATTGTCTCCTTATAGAATTAATTTACTTCTTGTGCTTCTTGTTTTTAAAAGGGAAATTGAGTATTTGTACCACCCAAACTGCTGCTGTTACTCCCAGCTCTAGCTCCAGTAGCGCTAGTATTTAATCCCTCTAGTAGTAGAGGGACAAGAGGAGAAAGTCCTGTGATGTGGAGAACTTTGAGTTGTGAAGGTGAGTCTACAAATTGTCCTTGGTATCTCCAATTCTACTGAAGGGTCACTAAAGTTTAGGTTTCAGTTGGGTGCCTGAAACTCCAAAGAGTATTCTATTTAAATATATAGAAAACAACTGCTAACAGCTCATTTTCACTATACAAAGTGGCAGGCGTTGGGAAAAGTGACCTGAGATACTAGTGCTGGTATGAGTCTATCACAAAGCTTTAAGGGCCAGACAATGTTTATTTCTGACTTGGTACAGTGCCACTTTAAGTGATGAAAATGGACAGAGATAGCACTGATGAACCTGTGATGTGAAATTTCACAGTACAGTTCTGAATATGAAGTGCCAAAAACACTGTTGCTTAGGACAGTATCAAAATAACTAAAATGAACAATTAAAGTTCCTGAAAAGACATACTGAAATGTTAAAGGAGTTCCAAGAAGCGTTTTTTTTTCCTTTCAGGCTTAGCTCAGTTTATTCTAAACAGATGAAGTAGTTGAAATACATATGGCAGATTCAAGCCTGCAAAAAGTCAAGAGACTCCCTATGTGGTAGGAACCATGAACAGGCCAATAGCTTAGTCATGTTCTCCTATTGAAATATAGACCAGAAGTTAAGAAAGTTTACCTACTATACTATTAGTTTAATAATAGAGTTTATTATAAACCACATTCCAGACACATCGATTAGAATACTGGGTTATTTTTTAACTTGTAACTAAGCTTCAAACTCCTTACAAAATAATTTAATGTTCCATACTTACCTAAAAATTTAATAACCTAGAGCCTAAAAATACCTCATGCCTAAAAATACCTACAAACCTGCATAGAGACTGAGGTTTGCCAAGCATCAAGTTACAGGTGAACAAGACACACTCAAGTAGTCACAAAAAAATTTCTTTATACAAGATGTTGCAACTCTTTGGGATTGTTGGGGATTTTTATTTCTTCTGGATTGCTCTCATCAATGCTTTCGCTGCTTTCAGTGGCATCATCTGAATTGCTTACACTGTCCTCCTCAGAGTCTTCTTTCCTTGTTGCTAGACTGGAAACATTTTTCAAGATTATAAAAGCAAAATAACTTATAGTAAGTAAAACTATGATTTAAATTAAATTTCATTACCCTGAGGAATTGACTGGCCTGTTGGGATTAGAAAATTCTTTTTCTAGGTCAACATCAAATGGATCTGGAAAAAGAAGATGAAAAAAGCATTTTCTAATGGTCTTCCTTCATTTTCATAGATTAATGGCAGGGAGGGGAAGGAACAGAAAGGCTAGTTCAGATTTCTCATAAGTTTACCACAGTTGTTAGAGGAGAAACTGGGGGAGATGAGAAAATAACCCAAGTCCTGCCTGTCCAGTTTAGGCTTTTCACTCTATTCCCCCACCCCCAGCAAGGGGTCCTGTAGCTCTTGAGCTACTTATTGTATAAGTAGGTTTCTAAGGCTTTGGGTAAGAAAACACTGATTAAGTTCTAAAATGGCTGTCTAGTTAGCTGATGTCCACTGAGAAGTGAATTACAGCTGTCCAGATTTAGCTCTTGCTGAGTAAGGGTAGGGCTGGGCTTACTTTGGCTGAAGTAGCTGGGAAGAACTGTCAGAAAAGTCAAACAAGTCTTGTTTCTGCAGTTCCAGAAAATACACAGGATTGTAGGTGGAAGTGTATTTTAAGTGGCATAGCCATGTTGCCTCTTAAGAGCTGTCTTCAGTTTAGTCTACCTAGTTAGGCTTCCATCAGGAGGATGGTTTAATTCAGTATCATGGCAAAGAGATCAAAGTTTAGAGCAAGTGAAGGCTATTGACCATCTTCTTGCAGTAGAGCCCCTGGCCTATTTTAAGGGCTTAATCACCATGAAAGGAAAATGTTAATTAGGATAATCCCTTTTCATATGTTCTTGATTATTTGCCTTTCTTTGTGCTGTCTTGAATGATACCAAGCACTCAGGTGAATGCAGCCTGAAATACTGGGACTGCAATAAATTACTGGAAGACTTTGTGAATAAACTACTTGTACTTATTATAAATTATTTTAATTCTCTTTATAGATCTGATTTTAAACATCTTGATTGAGAACTATATGTCTATTAAGGGTCCTTCTTAGATTTATGTGTAACTAACTTGGTGTCTGACTGTATGCGTATATTTCTCTCATAGGTTACTTCTCAATTATTAGTCTTTCTACTCATACTCTGCTTTTAACATCTGTATAGAAAACAAGGAAGCATTGTATTTTTTTTTTTGCTCCTAAGTTTCCAATTTGGTTAGCTGAATAAGGGTAACTGCTTTATGGTTCAGCTGTGAATACTCTATGTATTAAATTGCTTTAGTCATTTTCACCCTATTTGATTTGAAAAAAATGGGCTAACAGGTACACTTAGCACAGTATAAAGATAGAACAACACATATCAGCAAAGCACTTATCTTCCACCTTGCTAATATTTTTATGGGATTTAAGGAAAATACTGTAAAGAAAACTAGTTAGAAAAAGAGCACATGTAGTGTTTCTCTGTTTGTCTCTTACCTATTTCTTCATCTTTTTTTTCTTGGACACAAGCTAAGAAGTCCTTCTCAATGATTAGCATGTCGTCCTGGCAATGACAGGCTGCATATTTTTCCAAGAGATTTTTGTTCAGGTCAAGAAATGCCTTACCCCATTTAAATTTCCTTAGAAGAATGGTGGCTAGATCTGGGAATCCTAAAACAGAAAATAATTTATTAGTTTTCTTCTTTACTGTGAGATTTCACTTGGCTTACATGTTTCTAGTTAAGTATGTGCATTCATGTCAATACAATAGAAAGCTGTTTGCCAGTGTTTCTTTCAGTGTTCGGGGAGTAAAACTTATGGGAAGACTACAAATATTTTCAAATTGCAGTTTAACTTCAAACATGGAACTGAATCCAAGAGCAGATCATAGCCTTCTGGCAAGTGCTACATAAAACTATTTTGTACAGGTAATGAATGATTCAAGCTCTATCTCCCACAGCCCTTCAGTACAAGATCAATTGTACATACAGTATTTTCAGAAGATAAGATTTGTCTGCAGTATGGTAGAGCATTTCTTTTATCAAAGTTCTGTGATGACTCTGAAAAACATCACAAGAGGGGCCAATTTATTTTGTTCTTACCCAGACCTAGCCCTATTAACAGCCAGCTGCTACCTCTCATTAAGGCTACCTTGCCTAAGCATTTGTGTTGTCTTCTTTTTTTTTAACAGCTTTTCTAACGTTACGCGCCATCCAGACAAAATGAGGATTATCAGTTTGTGTCCCATTTAGTAGCTGACATGAATACCGCACGGGTACCTCAGTGCAACTGGTAACACGCACCTGGAGGAAAGCTAGATAATCTGATCCCAAAGTCAAGAAAGTGATGACCTGTATGACAACATTACAGTTTGTTTTGTTGCAGACCATCTCTTCTGTTTTATTAAGGATGTAGCAATTGCTAGCACCATACTTCCCATCAGACAATTGAGCCTACCAACAATGCAAAACGCTGCAGCAAAAGCTTCCACACAGGACAGCTTGCATGGCCGACCGTAGTTTACAGGATTTGCAGCCACCAAGTAAGGCAGCAACCGTGGATGACTCCCCCTCATTCTCTTAAAGGGAGTTTCTTCTAATTTGGCCCATGAGCAATCTATGACTGCAATTCCACTCTGAGCAATGACATGCCTGAAAAAAAGAAATGTCACTGTATTTGAAAAATTGTTACCATTATACTGATGAAGTGAGAATCCAATTGCTGCTTTATATTGGCAACAAACTTGCATACATCCCCTGGTTTTGTTAATCAAAATCCATATGCTCTACAATAACCTCTAACAGAGACTCAATGAGAAAGAATAGTAGCATGGTTTTCCTCCAAACATACAAATGGCAATTAAAGGTTTACTCATGTGTTTCAAAATGAAATGTGAGTAATTCTAGGTTTAAAAATGTGACAGAAGTGTGATTACTAGTAATGTTCACACCTTCAACTACACCGAAGTTCTGATTTATGTTCTCTGCTAGCTTCTCTCTGCATCTAGAGACAAATCTTTTCTCTGATAAGTGTATCTTTATTAAAGTTCTACAGGCACATTTGAAGAAAATTCTCATTTTCTGCAAAAAGTTTTCGGGTTAACACATTGTGTTGTCTACCGAAGAACTTAAATATAGCATGATACAAGACACAGCAGCTACACGGCCGTGCTCTGAAGAAATTAACCTACAGGACGTGCACTTGGATTTTTCATTGGGAGCTACAGATGCTTTTCTCATCTGATAGTAGCTGTGTAAAAATATTAAGCTGATTTAATAAAACGACTCTGTTTCTCATGTTCATGCATCAGTGTAACGTAATAAGAACGTCAATTCCATTCCATAAGAGTTTCAGCCATGTATCAGTGGTTAAAATGCTCTCTTTAATACAGCATCAGTACGGTATTTGAACGAAGTGCTCTCCCTCACAGTCTGCAGCTCCCCCCCACTTCCCTCGCCGCCGGGTTTTGCCAACAGGCACCGAGGCCCCACCTGTCAGCCGGAGAGACGTACTCCGTGGCCAGCGGACTCAGGACGACGCCCGGGAATCTCTGGCGGAGGCGCAGGGTTCGCAGCAACCCCTTCCGGGCGAGTTTTCTCCCGGTGCATTTCTTGGGATCGCAGTGTCCGAGCTCCCACATGGCAAGGGGGCAGGGGAACTTGGCCTCCCGGGCGCCCCCATCCGCGGCCCTCTCGCCGTCCAGGCAAGCTGAAAACAGCAGGTGTACATCAATGCCCAACGGTGACGCGGGACAGCTCGGCAGGACCCGCCTGCCCTTGCCCGTGTCGCCTCACGCACCTGTCAGCGCGGCCTCCGCTTCCGCCGCGAAAGTCTCGAGGCCGCGAGTCCCGCGACGGCCCCCGCGCCGGCCCCCGCGCCGGCCGCGCTCCATGGCCGCGCTCGGCAGAGACACCGTCCCGCGGCGTTACGCACTTCCGCTTCCCGCGAAGCAGGCGATGGCGGCTCGGGTGCTGCTCGCAGCGCTGAGCGCGGCGCTGGGTGGGTGCGGGGGCCGCGGCCCGGGCGGACGCGCTGGTCGCGCCGGTCGCGCCGGTCGCTTGGCCCATCCGCCGCTCCCAACTGCTCTCTCCTAGCAGGTCTCTTCGCCTCGGCGGGAAAAATGAAGATCGTGGAGGAGCCGACTACGTTCGGGTACGTGGCCGCCTGCTCGCCGGGTCGTCCCGTGATCCACCTGCACTCGACGGGTTCGGGTCTGTTTGCTGTCGTACCCGCTCTAGCCCGTTTCTGCCAACGGGGATGGGGCGGCGGGCCGGGCCGCTCCCGCAGGCCCCGCTGTTGGCCCGCGGGCAGCGGCCGTCGGTGTTGAGACACACAGGTAGGGGAGGATGTATGGACGCCCAGATGCATAACTCAGCCTTAAACGTTTAACTTTCCTTCTTTTGAAAGGTTGAATAACCCATTCTTGCCTCAAACAAATAGGCTGCAGCCAAAGATGTCCCCGTCTGCAGTATCAGGTATATGCAACCGTAACTTTTTGGTTTTTTGTACCGTTTTCATCATTTAGCAACAGTTGTTTGCAGTGCAAGTAGTCTATTCCGACTTTATGCATAGAAAACCGAATTTCGCTTGTAGTTTTTTAAGCATCATGGAAAATAAGCACGGGCAAATATATTTCATTGTGCTCCTGAAGGATTAAAACCTATATTAACTTCACTGGTGGTTCCAGGTCCCGGTGCTATTTTTGTGATGGGACTATGCATACATTTTATTCTGTATTTTTCTAGCCTGTAACAGATCCTTTTGACCCACAGTAAACTCTTTTTCTTGACACAATCCTCACCGTCATTGCGATTATCATATAAAAGTCATCCCATGGTCTGGTAGTACTTACTATCCAAAAATAGTCTTAAAAGGAAGTCCAAAGAGTAGTCTTGGAACCAGTCAGAAGGGCTCAGTTTCACACGCAGCCTCAGTGATGCAACATAAATGCACCCCTTAAGCAAAATGAACTGGGATGTACAAAATTCTAGACCATCTCTAGAGGAGAGCAGATAAACACTGAAGGCAAAGCAAAAGGGAGTAACTCTTGTCTCTCTGATAACCTTAGGCAGAAACTTAAACCTTGTTGAGATTCAAGAAAGGCATTTTGGTATGATGACACTGAATGTGATTATGCTTAATGTTTCCTGTCACATTTTATAAACTCAAATGTATAATTCTGCATGTACTGCATGTGAAATGTGATATAGTTAGAAATGTGATTAGTAATAGAATGCTGAATGGGAAGATGCCAAAAGTAGTAGGAGAAAAGGACAGCACACCAGAAATCCTTCTTGCTTTGTTGTGGGATCTGTCATGTAGCCAAAAATTGGGAGTGTACATGGAACATGAACCTAAGGGCATGGAACCCTGTCTTGCACAATTATTTGTTTAGCATGGAAACCATCCTTTTCTTCTACAAAACAGTTGGGGTAATAGTTCTGGTAGTTTCTCTTCTACAGCATCTGCCCTGGAAAGGGAGACATGAGTTTAATGCATTCCTTACGGACACATTCACATCTGCTGTTCTTCATTTGTGGGGAGAGCATGCTAATCACTGAGGCACAGATTTCATGTAGTAGAGGAACAAACCCTTTGGCCAAGCCCATCTCTAGAATGAAATGCAAGATCATGCAGTCAGAAGAATACTTGGGAAAGAGCACCTGCTTGTATCCCAGTATCCCTGTATCCCAGTGGTTAAAGCATTCTGGAGGGCGTGTTTCTGGTAGTCTGACCTTTGTTTGTAGGATTGATTGTCTAGATACTTGGAAAAAGTACCCACGCAATCCTGACAGTGGGGAATTAGCGTCCAGGATGGGGTTTTACTTTATTTGCTTTGTAATGTCTTTTCTTCTTTCCTCATTAATATTTAGTAATTCCAAGGTAAATTTCCATATACGAGAGAGACTGAAGTACTTCTCTAGCATGTAGTTCAGAACTTTTCTCCCTCTTTTTAATGACAAGTTTCCAGTCTTGGATTTCCTTGGCAACAGGCCTTGTAGTCAATACAAAAAGAATAGAATTGCATCTGCTGACCTGTCTGACGCCAGAAGTTTTATCTTGTTGAATGTTACCTGGATCAGACCATGAAGGCAAATGGAAAAAAAAAATCCAGTTTGAGAATCTCAGTGAAACTTAAATATGCACCACTGTCAACATTTTGAACAAATGAGCTTTGCTAGTATAAACTTCCAGAGTTTGAGTTTCAGTGATTTCAGTGTTAGATTTTGGCAAGATCTGCACTGATGATTCCTTTTATGGACCTCACCTCCAAATGTTTTATTTTTACACCAGTTTCTCATTTTTGTTGTCAAATTAGGCTTATCTATTTCACTGGGTAGTGAGAATGAAAAGCATTAAAGAACGTGATGCAATCCGGTATTGTGCTAGTGAGAACTTACAGTAATTTATATGAAGGATAAAAATTTCCTTATGTACAGCAGAAAATTAAATTTGTCATGTACTCTTCACAATTTTGTCACCACAGTAGCTTGCTTAAATTTAACCAAAACATTCTTTTTCCTTTATGTCATCTCTTGTGATGTTTTTAGGCCCTGCACATCTCTTTAGGCTTGCTGGCAAGTGTTTCAGTTTTGTGGAATCCACGTGAGTAATGGATTTGGATATTTGTTTATATACTTACTAGTAATAAACTAGTTTTTTATTCCAATCTGAAACATTTCTTATTTTCTCTTTCTTTTCTCTCCTTTTAAGGTACAAGTATGAGTTTTGTCCTTTCCATAATGTCACTCAGCATGAGCAAACTTTTCGATGGAATGCCTATAGTGGGATTTTAGGGTGAGGCACTTAGACCTTTTACGTTTTAGCTATGTTGTCAGCAGGCCACTTCACAGATTGTAAAAATGAGGCTGTTTTAAAACTAAGATTCTTCCATTGGTCAGTTTAGATCATGGTAGTTCCCAAGGTGTTATACTTAAAAATACCCTGTCTTGAAAAATTCAGTTGGTTTTTTTTTTTTTGGTTGATAAATACTAACCTCCTATTTTAGCTGGAGACTGATTAATAACCCCTGCCAAATGCAAGTGTGATATGTTCATGTGAGAAATTCAATAATGTCTAACTACAGCTTATATTAACACAGATTTCATGGCCATTAACTATTTGCAGTTTGGGTTAAATACAAATATTATAAAATGAAAAAGAGTGCTTTATGCCTAATGGTAGTTGAACAATATAAAAAGCTATAAAATGCTCAATGTAGAACCAAAAAAAAGTATCCCAAAGTATTTAAAAATACCCTGGATCATAATACCTAAAATAAATCTAAGTATAAACCAGACCATTGCTTTTCTAGATATTTTGTACATAGATATCTCTTTTTCTCCTATGTGCAAAACAGTAAGCGGGTATGTGAGAAAACTGTACATCACCATGCTGAGGGTATCATTTGCTTTAGGACTAGTAGAAGTAGACTAGTTTTTGTAGGTGCTCTCACCAGCACTAAAAATCCTGCAATCAAACTGAGTTGCACAGGGTACTTAGCCTCATGGACTTCGTTGTGGGATTGATCTATAAACTTTATTTTACTAGACTTAAACACAGATTTCTAACTGCAAATGGTTTCCAAACTGAAATTTGATCCAAAACTTTGCTCTCAAAAAGTGCTTTTGATGTGTGCTATATAGCAACATGGATAACAAACTACACTGCTTCCAAGGTGTTGGCTGTAGGAAGTGGAAATCCTGAGACAACAGAAATTAAGTATATACACTTAAATTGAACATGGTATAAGGGCATTCTTGGTTTTCTTCCTGAGGGTTCATCTTTTTCTGTCCAGTAACTTAAAACAAAATAGTGTCCTCTTTTTTCAGAATCTGGCACGAATGGGAAATTGACAATAACACATTTGTTGGAATGTGGATGAGGGAAGGAGACTCCTGTGAAACTAAGAGCAGACAGACAAAGGTAAAATAACTTAAACTATGCTAATTCAGACAGCATGACTCTACAAACACTTGTGACTCTACAAACTGAAACATTCCTACCCTGAGGAAGTCATCATTTAAGCTGTGATAGAAAACATAAAGATGAATTCCTTCAGGGACTGTGTGAATGACTGGAGGAGGAAAGCTAGAATCAGGATAAAATTTTGAGGATATTTACTTATGTATTCTCATTGGTTACTTACAGCTCATTTTTTCCTTGATAGAGTGGTATAATTATTACTATAGAAATACAGTACAGTGCTTTGTAATGTGTGTCAGGCAAAATAAAGGAAAAGAGCTCTTTGCAGAATTGAAGATGCCAGTCTATTAAAAACATCCAGGAAAAAGGAGGGAAAAGAATTCGGCAGTTAACAATAGCATGCTGAGAAGCTAAGTATGGTGTTAGAACAAGCACTAGGAATATTTCAAGAAAGACTTTGAGGTGATGGAGCATGTCCAGAGAAGGGCACTGGAGCTGTGGAAGGGTCTGGAGCACAAGTCTGATGAGTAGCACCTTTCAACCAGCATTCCCAGGTCTTTTTCCACCAGGCAGCTTTCCAGCTATTCTTGCCCAAGCCTGGAGCAGCGCACGGGGTTGTTATGATCGAAGTGCATTACCCAGTACTTCACCTTGTTGAATCTCTTGCAATTAGCTGCCAACTTGGCTGCCATATCCTGGACATGGTGAAAATGTTATACTCTAATGGAGGTGCCTGCTTAACATCTTTATTTCCCAGAGAAGCTGCAGAAAGAATTCATATTCTTGTATGACGTTTGATATTGTGATTGAATTTTTCACTGGCATTTCATTTTGAAGACAAAAAATATTGGTGCTGCAAATCTAAAGATGAAAACAATTCTCTGCAGTCTGGATATGTCTTATATTCTTAAATTAGCACACTGGTCAGAAATGAAATTTAAGAAGATTGTGCTTATGTTAGATGAGATTCTTAAGGTGTCCTATTCACTGTCCTTTTTACTCTCCTTCTTGTTGAAAATATAGTACTTATTAGTCCAAGGAACAATGGTTGGTGGGGAGAATCATTTCCCATTAGAGAAAACAATTTTCACATTTGATAAAATAAATGGATTATGTGCTTGCTATGATGCTGTTTCTTTTTTTTTTTTTTCTTTTTTTCTTTTTGATTTAAAAAGGCGCTGGAAGCTTTGACATGACAGTATGTACAGAAATGCATCTACTAGCATTGGAACACAGCAAATAGATCATCAGTGATGGTGTTTCATGTAGATATTTTTTGCTCATCTTTGTTTTTTCTGATGTTTAGGTTCATCTTGTTTGTGGAAAGAGCAATAAGTTGGCTTATGTGTCTGAGCCAAGTACTTGTGTTTACTCTCTGACATTTGAGACTCCTCTCGTGTGCCATCCCCACTCACTTTTAGGTAAGATTAAAAAAAAAAAAAATACTTTGTGGAACAGCTAGCATATACACTATCCTCAGAGTGTCCATTTTTAGGTTGAGTTAGTACCTTAATATAAATTAGTATTAGATGTTAACATATTATATGGTTTTTAAAATGCCAGTCATTATAACACCTAGGTATTTCTCAACTAATTTTTTTATTTGGGATTAAATTTATTTTTTTTTTGTCAATGCTAGCATAGACCCAGTGAATGATTTTTTTTTTCCTTTTCTTGGACTGTAGGAATAAGCCCTGTAGTATCTGCCCATTTACTTACATTACAAAAAAGCTCCATTAAAATTACGTTGAACACAGGAATATGAGGCCTTGGATCTGGAAATAAGAAAAATTTCTGGTCATTCTCCAGAAACTTTAAATGTGTGAAGTGCAATTTAAGCGTAAGCCCAGCTTTTGAAAGCAGTGGAGACTGTGTACTGTAAAGAAACATTGAGTTCTTAAAACAAATATTCTTGCGTGATACTAGAGGAGGAATTAACTAACGCAGGATAGTGCTCCTGGTTTTTATATGGTTTGACTTCCATTTTTCAGTTTATCCAACTCTGACTGAAGCACTGCAGAGGAAGTGGGATGAAGCAGAGCAGCTTCTGTACGATGAACTAATAACCGACCAGGTTTATTAATTCTTCCAACTCTATGTGGTAAAAAAAAAAATATTACTGTCAAATAGCCAAACCTGGCTTCTGTAGTTTCTCCTTTTAGAGCAGATGAATTTATTCTGCAGTTGGCAAATAGTAATTTTCGTGTTTCTGTAACTGCTATATGAAACGGTAATGAAGCTTGAGGACTTGGAATGGCCAGTGCAAATTGCAAGCGGAGATGAGAGTTGAATAGATTGATCTATCACCTTTTGGAAACTTTCTTTTCTAGGGTTACAAAAAAATTCTGAAAGAGATTTTTGAGGAAGCAGGACTTCTAAAAGCAACAGAAGAAAATGAAGTTGAAAAACAGAGTAAGAAAATATCTCTGGAATTTGAAACAGTGGAAAAGTGCAGTAAGGTATAGAGCATAATATTTACAATGTGGAATTGCCACCTTTTCACTGTATGACAGTATCAGTGGGAGAGCATTATGTAAATGCCCTTGGTGTTCAGCTGAATCTCTTAATGGAGTTATCTTTTCTGGTTTCAATATGTAACAGCCTGCATGTAGTGTGATTTGGTATCTTTATTATAGCCCCTAAGTCAAAAACAAACCAGCAAAAATGAATGCCCAGTAAGAAGATAGGGGTTATGAAGGAATTGGTGTATGCGCTTGGGTTATAAACACCCCGTAGGTACTCTTTCTGGGAAATATCAGTCTGGAGACAGGAAGAAATTACTAGTGAAGATAAATGTGTAACCAACCTCGACAATGTTGACACTTTTAATTCTCTCTGTGGATAATTATCTCTTTTGATAATTACCCAGACTTCTGTAAGAATGCATTGGCTGTTGCACACGCAAAAGGCCAGAATGCCTGTATTTATTTCTGAATGACTCTTGCGTACGTGAACAGTTCTTCTGCAACAGATTTGGAATGGGGAAAATAGAGGCCGAAGGCGTGCTCAGCTTAAACGAGCACAACCTGACCATCAGAAAAAGAGCATGGATGGGAATTCATTTATTACAATACAGAGAAGCAGTTGCTGTTTTCTTTTTATTTGAAAAAGGTAGCAAAGACAAAACACCACGTAGTAATTAATGAATATAACCAAATAAAACCATGGTTAAGCTGAATATACTTCAATGTAAAGATCGCCGTTTTGATCTCATAGGAGCTGGAACAGTCACATGATTATTTTTTCACTCATTATCAATACAGTATTTAATAGTTTCTATTTCTTTTTCTGGCTTCATCATAGCTTAATTGACATAAATTGGCTGGTTTGGTAAACACAGAATCTTAAATACTTATTCTTTTGCTCTGTCTTTATTCACGTAAACACCAAAACACAGCAAAAAATAGGGGCTTCTCTGAGATTTCAGGGACATGCTTTGAATCTCAAAAGAACTAAGCAATGCCTGCTGTAAGGTAACAGAAACTGCTGAGAGCAAGAACATGAAGTTACTAGGCCAAGAGTTGAAGAATTTACAAATTTCCAGACGGCAGAATTACAACAATTATAAAATAAGGGTAGTCCTGAGGCAAACTTAAGATTTGTTCTGTGATAAAATGCTAGTTACAAGACAGATTTGAAATAGTTACAGAAAGCATTTCTAATTTTTACTCTTGGGCTCTAAAAAAGCTGGCTCCTCTTTTGGCAACACAGACATGTATCTTTTTCTAAAATTTGCTTTATGTTGCTGGAACAAGCATTTTAAGTTCTTCAAAGCCAAGAGGTGTAACAACTGTGCACAGAGGCATTTTTTTCTTAAAAGCTCCCAATCTAGGTATGTATTTGAAAAGTGGGAGGGCTATTTTTAATATATTTTCTTTCTTAGGAATACAAGCAACTTTCTGAAGAAATAGAAAAACTTAGAGTTTTATTAGGTCAGCATGGTATTGCATACAAAGGAAATGTTGGTGAGTTTTTGGTATCATTCTTTTTCATTGTTGTCTGCTCAGAATGTGAATACCCCAATGCTGTTTTCGCTTACAATAACAGTTAAATAATCTGGCATCTCTGGAGGTAAAATTCAGTAGACAGAGTTTTTAATAAGTACTTAGATTTTGATTCCTGTCCACAAGGATTTACTTTGTCCTTAAAAAATCTGTTGATGACTTGAAATTCTAGCTTTATAGAAAAATTTTGACTGCTGTTGTAATTGAAGTTTGTCTCCAGTCCTTAAGGTGCCAGTTCAAAAGGAAACCGATACTACATCATTAATAGAAGAAATGTGTCTGTTAAGTAACTCCACTTCTGTATTTTAACCACAAGGCCTGATTTCTTTCATAACACTTGAAGTTTTCTCTGTATCTTTTTGGATTGTTTTTTTCCCTTTTTGAAGTTGCCTGTTTCTTTCTTCCCTCTCTTTGATTTTTGCTAGGTAAGTACCATACCACATGCAGTTTTTAGTAGAAAAGACTGCTGCTGGCTGTGAAGGGGCACGACTTATCTGGATTAATTCCAGATAAGTTGTTTTTTGATTTTTTTTTTTTTGGAGAGGTCTGTAATTGGGTTTTCTGTTTGTTTGCTTGTTTGTTTTTCCTCATTCCTGCCGGACCATCATGCCCTTTATTACATGAACTATTTGTCAAAGGAGAATTTAATGTCTAGGAATACATGTATATACAGAAATACATATATCTTTTTCTTTTACAGTTGCATGTTCAGAATTGGCACTTCAACAAAACAAAGAACCTTTGAGCTAATTAAATTAGCTTAAAATTAGTGACAAAATATTTTTTTCTTTTTTGGTTTGAGAAACTTTTCTGGGAAAAAACTTATATAAAAATTTTGTAGAACATGTTATCTGCATGTTTAAACTATTAGCAATGTAATTTGCACAGTATTTCTGCCTGTTTGGTTGTATTGCAGTAGTTCTTTTAATTATTGCAGATTAGCACTCTAAAATCAAAAGTCGGATTCAGTTCACTGTAGATGACTTCAAAATTATTTAGTGAATTCTGTGACAAAAAAGTTTTGGTGTTTAAAAGCCAAAATAACTGATGTCATATTAAAAACCTAAATTTTACAGCTGGAAATTCCAGTGTTGAGTATGTAAGTCACCAACTGGCAACTGCAGTGGCATCAGTTCTTAATGGGTCAAAGGATGATGAGCACCTGCATGGCGATACAGGAATTTGGAATTACACTCTGTGAAGAAACTTGGATGGTACATAATGTAAATTAAACTGAACATGTATTATGCCACAAAGATGATTTGCCTTCTTGTGAGTATTCTTGACTTTGTTTCAATTTGTGCCCTAAAGCAAACACAGTGTAGTAGAGTGGGGGCACACCATTATGAGAATAGTAAGCTAGTTTCTGACAACATTTGTAACACTTCTTTGGTACGACCAGTATTTGGCCCAAACCTAAAGATTCTCTGTGCCTAGTTCCGGCTTTTGCTATTTTTATTGACCAAGTGTGGTAGAAGATGGAGTGAATATAAACCAGCTCAAGACCAGTGCTGCAATGCGTTTTAAGAAAGGTAGTAAATACAGTATTAAGAACATGCTATTTCATCTATATGCTAAAAAGATTTCTGGACACACTTTAGCGGAAAAGGAAACTTTTTCTGCCAGCAGTGCAGACCACACCACTGCACCGATTCGTGTTCAAAGGTCGATGTCGTCTTGGGCTGTCAGGTTAAATGGAAGTTGGTCAGAATCTGACAGAAAGGTGCAATGAAATCACTGAGTTGTTACAAAAACATAGTTGTGGTGAGGTAATACCTGGCAATTCTCTGTACATAATACGGAATAAAATGGACTCCTCCAACACAAACTGTGGAAGTATCACTGTTGCCATCGGTGAACGCCGAGCACGCCATCTGCGGTCACTATGCCGCCTCCTGTGGTGCGGTTCGGCACCCCCCGGCCCAGGGTCCTGTCGGCCTTGCCCTCACGGCGTCAGCTGCGTTGAGCCGCGGCCCAACCCACCAAGCCCTCGCGCTTCCGCTTCCGCTCCCGCTCACGTAAAGCGGGGGATGATCCGGGCGCTGCGTCGCTGGCGGTGAGGAGCGGTGAGGAGCGGGGCGGACCGGGGCCGCTGACGGTGAGGACGGGGGCTGGGACGCATCCTGAGCCCTTCGCGACGCTCACGCATATGTCGTTGCAGGGTGCGGCGAGCCCCCTGTCTGCCTGGGCCTCGGCGGGGGCTGGCACGACGGCGGAACCCGGAGGGTGCGGCGGGCGCGGATCCGGAGGGCGGGGGGCCCGTTCCCTTCTCCGGCAGCTAGGCCAGTTCGCGGTTTTGGAGCGTTAGTCGGTCGATGGGGAACGACCACGAGAGGCCGTCGGTGAAGGTGCTGCCTCTTAGTGTGCTAAGCGCAGAGCTGTTGCTATGGTGCGTGTTCCGAGAGAACGGGGAGACCGACCAGCGACTAGAGGCGGTTCTCTTCGGCCAGATCGTGGACTCAGATACGGCCCAGGAAAGCAGTGCTCCTCTTCAGCTGCTGAAAGAGAACTGAGGACGGGAGTGCGGCTGCCGTGAGGGAGCTGACAAAAGTTTGCTGGCATTCACCTGTTTAAAAGCTGTACTGGCGCTGTAATGAAAAAGACACGTTTTTCTAGTTTTTCGGCAGTCTTATCTTGCAAGTTTGATTTCTTCATGCTGTTTTTTGTGCCGATCTTGCCGTAGTAATTTACACTGGTAGGAAAAGGTGTAGTTTCTGGATTGCACAGGTAGGGATGAACAGGATGTATTGCAAATCAAGTTGAACTTGAAGGTAAGTTTTATGCAACCCATCATTTTTCTATGGATCATTTTTCTTAGCAGATTGTTGTATTAAAAAGTACCTAATGTCATTATGAAATTGCTGCTTAAGGTGACTTTCATTTCACATTTTGATGGTTACAGAATATGTTCTGTTTATACTGAAGACAGCTGTAAATGAATGATTAATTACCATGCAATTATGTTCTGAATTTTTGTATGTAATTCTCCTCGTTAATGTAGAAATTGCCTACAAGGGTGCATTCTTTCTGGACTAGAACTTTCTAGGCTTGGTTGATTTACACGGTCAATACTGGCAGGAGAGTATTTTGCCCAAAATTGAAATGTTTGGCTTGCGTTATATTGGGGATGTCTCATTGAACAATACAGTACTAGGCTTTTTGTGTGGGTTCATAGATATTCAAACTTGCACTCTCGGGAAACTTTTCCTGGAGAGGAGAAATGTGAAATACTAACGTGACTTTGTTCCCTTCAAAATTAGAGGCTTTTTAAAGTTCTCAAATGTAAAAATGGAAAATCAGGTTTGTATCATGAAAATGCCTAATTAAAACCCCAACACCAACAAAGATGATAGTAACTATTAAGATAGGCTGAAGCTATGGAGAAATTGGGGGTAGCATCACATTTGTGTAATACCACTGATTAGTCTGAACAACATGCACTACTGTGGCTTTTGATTTTGCTGTAGAGTCCCTTAACCACATGATGCCACATTTGATTTGGTACTGTCACAAGGTTTAATCTTGGTATTCAGCTTTTACTACAGTGGAATGTTGCAAGTGAGATGCATGGGGGCATCCTGGTGAATGAGTGAAAGAATAATCTACTTTTGGTTTTTTAGCTTGTTTGTTTGTTTGTTTTTTTAGTATATTGAAGCTCAGGTGTAATGCCTGTTGCTTCTGATTAGCTTTCTTGCACCATATTCTATGGAAACTGAATTGTTTAAGAAATACAGAGCTGCCTCTCTGTGTTTGTTTTTACCACTCGTTCTGTGCCTTCTTTGGGGGTGAGAAAAAAAGGCTGAGGGGGGAGGGAGTGGAGACTCAGGGGCTCTGATGTCATTTGGGGCACCCCAGCGTCCCTAGGAGAGAGAGCCACGCTGCAGTGGAAGAGCAGGTGAGTGGCGAATGAGAAAGGGTCATGCTGAGTTGCCCTCGGTTCCCTGGTTGGGAAAGTCCTTAAAGTAGACAAGCTGAACCATTTCTGAGAATTTCAAGCCTCCTGTTCTTATGATTCTTGGTACAGTATTTAAATAGTTACTATCAAGTTGAGATGGTGGATCAAGTGGATTTGCTAGAGTGGCAGAAATAGTTTTTTGCCTGGAAGCATGTTGGGATAAACAACCCTCCTTAATGCCGGAATGAATTCGTTTTCCGTCTTTTCCCTTTTTTTCTTTCTAGATTGCGGAGTGTCGGGGAGAACAGTTGGCATAAAGAAATTAAAGGCACGAAGGAAGTTCCATCTTCCCGAGGGAATGCTTTAGGCACCACGTGCAGCTTCTGAGCCACACCGATAATCCCAGCTCCCACCAAAACCTTCCGAAGTTGGAAGGGACAGGGAAGAAGATTCCAGGAGCGGTGGGAAGTACTTTCTCCTGAGTCTGGAAGGCATTGAGGTCAGAACAAGTTCCATGTACTCCTCTCTCCTGTTGCCAGCCCAGGACCAAGTCAGTGTTCCCTGAATGGCCACAGTTCCCTGCATGTGGAGGGAGGAGATCTGTATTGGAGAGTGGGAGAAAGGTCCCTGCTCGTTGCTGTGTCCTTGGTGGGCAGAGAACTCTGATCTTGGCCAGATGGGTTGGTGAGTATTGAATCAATCCTGCCTCCTTTTGACTGAGTTGTTTTAATGAATCATCAGCAGGGACTGTTTTTAGCTGGCTTTAGTTCAGTTTCTTTTTCACAGATTCCTTGTTGTTTTGATCCTGAAATTGCCAAACCCTTAAGTTTGCTAAATTAAGCCTGAAAAGGTTCAACAAATCAGTCCTGAGAGAATTAGGGATTGGATGGCTGGGATCTTACGTCCCATTGAAGCCACATTGGGTTCACCCCCTGATTTTGGTGCCAAGGGAAAGTCCAAGTTAACACAGATCAAAATAAGAAACAGTTCCCTCATCAAAGTCAGCTTTCCAAACCTCTGTTCAGGATCCAAAAGAAGTGGGAATGCCCTTGGCAAAAAAGGTGCTTTTGAGACAAAGCAAGCTTAAAATGCCTGTAAGCAGGAAATCCAGGAGAAATGGCTGCTGGCATCCTGGGCTTGGCAGGCAGGTTTTGTACTTGATTGCAAAGCAGTTTTCCTCCCTCTGCATGGGCTGGCACCTGCATCCCACTGGAAAGGGGAGAGAAATAATTCCCCTCCTTCCCTGGCCCAGCCCTGGAGTGAGAGCAGCTTGCCCTTATCCTGGAGTTCTCCTGCCCCTGCCCAGCATCCCTCTGGTACTCTCATGTGCTTCCCAAGCTCCCAGCACTGATGGATCTAAACAAGGAGAACAATCCCTGTTCGTTCTCTTCTCCATCCTTGATGTTCCTGGGCCCTGCATCTCCCTGGCTATTCCCTGTCTGACTCCTCATCTCCATCCCACCTTCTCCTGGTCACATCTGAGCCTGAGATGTGTTTAGCAGCAAATCCATTCCTTTAAAGGAAGCCCAGTGCAAAGAGCTTCCAGCTGCAGGCAAGTCTTCCTGCATTTCATTTTTCTCTGTCCAGTTTTGGAGGGTTTCTCTCCGTGCTTTCCTGTGACCCAGATGTGTCCCTTCCTTTGTCCAGATCCAGTGCCAAAGGATTGAACAACTGATGAGTGGAGTCTGGGATGAGACTGGTTCTGCTAAAACTAGGGAAAGAATGCTAGAAGAAAAATGAGCTTCCTTTGAATGTCTGGAATAAAAACACTGGGAAAGGGCACTTTTTAATTCGATTTGGTGCCACCTCCCCTTTTTTTATGGCTAAAACTCCATGGTGAGCAATGCAAGCCAAAAGATGAAATGCAGGAGTCCTTGATTCTGCAGTGAGCCTAACTTCCCTTTTCTCCTCTCTTTCAGGGCAGGGAGAACCACTGAACTTGTCCTGGCCTTGTCAAGAGCTTTGATGTTTGAACTGCCAAGCCCAAACTGGTCCTGAGGATGGAGGACTTAAGAAATTACTCAATCCAACTAAATGCTTTAAAAAGGGAGATGGTTTGGTTATAAAAATATTTCTGCCTGAGACTGGGAAGAGACTGGGAAGAGTTAAACACCCCAGTTCTGCACAACAGCACAAGGATTTTTTAATTTTTTGCCTTTTTTTTCCCTTCCCTTGAATGGGTTTGTTTGTTTCCCCTTGGAGACTGCACACACAACAGGCAGATTTTTCAATTAATCCTTTTTTTCCCCACTTTTAGTCTTCAATGGAGCCCAGGTGCCAATTGTTTGCTGCTTGGTTTCTGCCTTCCCTTTCCTGCCTACAGCTTAACCCCTTCCTCTCCTTCCTGCTTTTTGGCCATCACTGGTCATGCAGTTGATGCTGATGCAGATGGCTGATAAATAATTATCAAACAGCTTGGGAATGGTCTGTATCAGGTATCAGTGACATTAAAATATGGACCATCAACCAATGAATTTAGCAAGAGTTGGATAGTAACTAATCATCTTTCCTTTGAAGCCCTCTTCATGGCATATTTACGTATAAAGGGAAAGCATTTGGTTTTTATTTTAAAAGATACTACAAATCACCAACGGCCAGCTTAAGTGAGCATGGAAGCCTGACAAAGACATTGTAATGTTTTTTCTTTTAAATCCCTCACAATCCCATCACGTAGTGGGGAGGCAGCTCAGTGAGTTTCAGCCCACAGCTGCCATCCTGGGCTCATGGAGAGCAGCCTCTCCAGCTGTCCCAGCCTCACGAAAGCACAGAAGAGGGCTTTACACAGATCAGGGATCAAGCTAGGCCCAGGTTGGGCTCAGCTCAGTCTGCATGGCACTGTTAGAAGCCTTAAACCCTTTTTCTATCAGATTGATTGTGGTTGCGGTGCAGCCACTGTGTTGCTGTCAATGTGCTCCCCTGCAGCCTAGCCTGACATGGTGAGCAGGGGCTTGGGGTTCTGCCTCATCTGTTAAGCATCAAACCAGAAGATAAAACAACAGATAAAACCCCTGCCCTGCCATGTGCCTCACTCTGCACCACTGCTATGAGAGGAGGGTGAAAGACCCAGTCAGTTTTAGCTCCGTAAAGAAGCTGCAAAGCAGTGATGAGTGCCTGAATCACATCCCCTGCAGCCATTGGGGAGTGAGGGCAGGGAAAAGGGCAGAGAAAGGGAAATAAAAAAACAACAGAGCCACCAAGACTGGAGGATGTGAGGATGAATCCAAAACTAGGCTCTCCAAGAGCTGAAATAACACATTTCTTAAAATAAGAGACGTCCAAACTGGAATGAGGGACTTGCCCTCTTTCCAGATTTTCCCAGCACCATAACCCATTAAAAAAAAAAAAGCCATCTGTGGAAATGGGATGCTCCTTTAAGCCTTGCAGAGACTTTCTCCAGCACCACAAAGCACCCTTCCTGTTGCTCTTCCTTTACCACTCAGGGCTGAGCCATGGAGACCTGCTTCTTTAGTGTGTGTGTGTGTGTGTGTATTTCAGGGTTTTTTTTAGAAAGAAGAAAAAAATCGATATCATATTTTAAAAAGAACCCCCAGAGCTTTGGGGAAAGTGGGCATAAATGTCAAACAAAACACAAAGAAAGACTGAGCTACTAAGGGTTCATACTTAAAGCAGCAGTGGTGGGGTAGGAGGGAAGAAATATAGCAGACAAATGTAACACCATTCAGGAGGGTTTATACACAATGTTTTCATTGCAAGCAGTATTTAGAAGTGACAATTTAGTGATTTATCATATCCCAGCACACTCCTTCCCTGTCAAAGTGATAGGCAGAACCGGCAGAGCAGCTCTGAACACACTGTTCACTACAAGGCACCACCAACAAACCCAGAACAGCTCCACCCTTGCCCAACCCTGTCCCCTTGGGCCTTCTGAGAAGCTGGGATTCAGGAGAAGGCCTTGCAGGGGAACAGTGTTTCAAATGTCAAAGGATTTAAAAATATACAAGGCTATGAAAGCCGTTGGGACCTGAAAGAATTGAAGGAGAAGGTCTCTTAGCAGAGCATCTTTAGCCAGTGCAGCCAGATAACCCTCGGATATCATTACTGGAGGATCTGGGAGTGAAGCCCAGCAGGAGATGCTGCAACATGAACTCCTGCCCCACACGAGAGGTTCCCAGAGACCAAAACCGCCACTCCATGCAGAGCAGACAGGATCTGACCACGACACCTGCCTTGGGCCAAACCTGCTCTTCATTTCTCATGAGCCACAGAGAAACCTGGTGTATTTATGATCACTTCTCTCACCAGACCTGGTTGCAATCAGCACTGGATCCCAAAACTGAAGGAGAAGCCTTGCGTAAACAATTCCTCCTTCAAGGCTCAGCTGCAGTACCAGGCTCAAGACCTGGCATGCACATGCATTTGGCAGGGAGTAGCAAATCAAGTGAAAGAAACTTCTGCATGGAGGGGATGGGAGGCTGAGTGATTGACAGAGAGCCAGGGTGGGGGTTTGGGGATGATCTCATCCCGGGAGAGGGATAACACAGGTAGAAGGAGGGGGATACAGTTTGGGATAAACCATTTGGGAAAAATATGGGGATACAAAACAAAATTACTTCAAAGTATTACAAAGTATAGAAATGCACTACAGCAGGTTTGGGCAGCACCAAATAAAATGTAATAAAATGCTTTAAAAATAGAAAAAGAAAAAAAATTAAAACAACAAAATTAATTTAAAATAAATGAAAAACAAAATAAAAACTGTAAAGTGCTGTAAAGTGTCGTAAAAATTCCATAAAAGGTAGTGCTGTAATGCAAGACCCTCAAACACCATCACAATCACCAGCTTGAGTGGGTCTGGGCAACACCAAATAAAATAAAAAGCTTTAAAAATAATAAAATAAAAAACAAAAATTAAAAAAAAATAAAAGCTTTAAAAATAGAAAAATTAAAAAATAAATAAAATTTAAAAAATTAAAAGCTTTAAAAATAGAAAAATTAAAAATAAAAATTAAATAAAAAATTAAAAAATAAAATAAAAAGCTTTAAAAATAATTTAAAAAAATTAAATTAAAAAAATAAAATAAAAGCTTTAAAAATAGAAAAATCAAAACTAAACCAAAATAAAAAATAAAAGCTTTAAAAATAGAAAAATTAAAAATTAAATAAGAAATAAAATTTAAAAATAAAAAGCTTTAAAAATAGAAAAATTAAAAAATAAGAAATAAAATTTAAAAAATTAAAAGCTTTAAAAATAGAAAAATTAAAAATAAAAATTAAATAAAAAAATTAAAAAATAAAATAAAAAGCTTTAAAAATAATTTTAAAAAATTAAATTAAAAAAATAAAATAAAAGCTTTAAAAATAGAAAAATCAAAACTAAACCAAAATAAAAAAATAAAAGTTTTAAAAATAGAAAAAATAAAAATTAAATAAGAAATAAAATTTAAAAATAAAAAAAAAGCTTTAAAAATAGAAAAATTAAAAATAAAACATTTAAAAAAATAAAATAAAAGCTTTAAAAATAGAAAAATCAAAACTAAACCAAAATAAAAAATAAAATAAAAGCTTTAAAAATAGAAAAATTAAAAATTAAATAAGAAATAAAAATTAAAAATAAAATAAAAGCTTTAAAAATAGAAAAATTAAAAATAAAAATTAAATAAAAAATTTAAAAAATAAAATAAAAAAATTAAAAATAATTTTTCAAAAATTAAATTAAAAAAATAAAAGCTTTAAAAATAGAAAAATCAAAACTAAACCAAAATAAAAAATAAAATAAAACCTTTAAAAATAGAAAAATTAAATAAGAAATAAAATTAAAAAATAAAATAAAAAGCTTTAAAAATGGAAAAATTAAAAACAAAAATTAAATAAAAATAAAATTGAAAAATAAAATATAAAGCTTTAAAAATAGAAAAATTAAAATTAAAAATAAATAAAAATCAAATTAGAAAAATAAAATAAAAAGCTGTAAAAATGAAACAATTAAAAACTAAATAAATAAAAAAATAAAAAGCTTTAAAAATAAAAAAATTAAAAATAAAAACAAAAAATTAAATTAGAAAATAAATTGCTTTAAAAATAAAAAATTAAAAATAAAAACTAAATTAAAAAATCAAATTAGAAAAAGAAAAAGCTGTAAAAATAAACCAATTAAAAAATTTTAAATAAATAAAAAATAAAATTAAAAAAATAAAAAGCTTTAAAAATAGAAAAATAAAAAATAAAATTAGAAAAATAAAAATATTCTTTAAAAATAGAAAAATTAAAAATAAAAGTTAAATAAAAAATCAAATTAGAAAAAAAAGCTGTAAAAATAAAACAATTGAAAATTAAAAATTAAGTAAAAAATAAAATTAAAAAAAATAAAAAGCTTTAAAAATAGAAAAACTAAAAATAAATATAAAAAAATAAAAAAAAATTTAAAAGCCTTAAAAAAAGAAAAATTAAAAATAAAATTCGAAAAAAAAAAAAATAAAAAGTTTTAGAAATAGAAAAATTAAAAATAAAGATTAAATAAAAAATAAAATTAATAAATTAAAATTAATTAAAAAGAAATAAAAAACAAAATAAAAACCGTAAAAGTGCCATAAAGGGTAGTGCCGTAAAGCGCGACTGTCGTAAAAGGTGCCGTAAAGCGCGACTGTCGTAAAACTGCCGTAAAGCGCGACTGTCGTAAAAGCTGCCGTAAAGCGCGACTGTCGTAAAAGGTGCCGTAAAGCGCGACTGTCGTAAAAGGTGCCGTAAAGCGCGACTGTCGTAAAACTGCCGTAAAGCGCGACTGTCGTAAAAGGTGCCGTAAAGCGCGACTGTCGTAAAAGGTGCCGTAAAGCGCGACTGTCGTAAAGCTGCCGTAAAGCGCGACTGTCGTAAAAGGTGCCGTAAAGCGCGACTGTCGTAAAAGGTGCCGTAAAGCGCGACTGTCGTAAAAGGTGCCGTAAAGCGCGACTGTCGTAAAAGCTGCCGTAAAGCGCGACTGTCGTAAAAGGTGCCGTAAAGCGCGACTGTCGTAAAGCTGCCGTAAAGCGCGACTGTCGTAAAAGGTGCCGTAAAGCGCGACTGTCGTAAACTGTCGTAAAGCGCGACTGTCGTAAAAGGTGCCGTAAAGCGCGACTGTCGTAAAAGGTGCCGTAAAGCGCGACTGTCGTAAAACTGCCGTAAAGCGCGATTGTCGTAAAAAGTGTATTTTTACGACGGTCGCGCTTTACGACACTACCTTTTATGGAACTTTTACAGTACTTTACAGCATTTTATGGATTTTATTTTGTTTTTTATTAATTTTTAATTAATTTTTTTTATTTTAATTTTTATCTTTTATTTTTAGTTTTAATTTTTCTATTTTTAAAGCTTTTTATTTTATTTTTATCTTTTATTTTTAGTTTCAATTTTTCTATTTTTCAAGCTTTTTATTTTTTTGTTTCAATTTTCTTTTTTATTTAATTTTTAGTTTTAATTTTTCTATTTTTAAAGCATTTTTTTTATTTTTATCTTAATTTTTGTTTGGATTTTTTT